GGTTGTTATAGTTTCAGCTTGCTCAGATCCACAATCAACACTCTTGGCTCCACCAGTCAGGAAATCAAAAGATGAGGTGCAGGGAGCTCTGGTGGCCTAGTGGCAAGAAGCTCCCCTGCAATCTCAGAGGTGCACAGTTTGAATCCACCAGATGCTCTGCTGGAGAAGGAGGGACAATCTCCTCCTGTACCAGTCAGATCTGATTTGATGGTACACACACACAAAAAAAACCCCACACACATACACACACACAAAAACTGGCAGAGAGACAAGGACGAGCAATGAAAGGCTTCCACAAGTGACACACAGTACTCCAGCTTTGCCTTCTATTGGCCAAATCAAATCACTTGGCCTTATTAGACTTCAGGGAGAAATACAGTCATCATGTTTGCTGAAGGAGAGAGGAACTCAATGTTAGTATTAGGTGCCATAGCAAAAGAGACAACTGGAATTCAAATCCAAATCTGTCTGATATCAGAATTCGATTAAATGGGATTCTTCATCCCGTTAGGCAAATCCGGAAAGCTGTGTATACTCTTTCTAGGAGTACAAATTGTTGGCCCCAGTAATGGGGAGTGTTCAGTTGGGAATAGGAATAATCTTTGTATTTTAATATGATGCATCTGCTCGTAATTCAATACATGAGTTATTCATTGCTTAGGATGAGCCAGACATTATGCTATGTGCTAAGGACACAAATCTAAAATTCTGATTTTAACAGAACCCTACCTCCTTCAAGTTGCTCAGACTCTGTTAGACAGATGAGTAAAGATCTTAGAGAAGAGCTTGGCAGGCGTCTTCTGAAGCCTGCTTAAGTACAGTGGTCCACAGAGAGGGCATCTGCTAAGGGGAGGTCCAGGAAAGAGCCAGTTGTGAAGTGGGGAAAGGAATTTATCAATTAAGGGAGGGGAGGATTCTCTAGACAAAGGGAACAGCATATGGAAGGCAGGGGTGGGGAGTGATCAGAGCTGAGACTGAATAGACATGCAGGGTCTTTGATTGCACAGGGCACCTGTTATTTTTGTTATTAGATGTCATAAGTCGAATATGAACAACAGACCTGACCCCTGTCCTCCTCTCACAATCTCTGACACATTCAAGTCCATTGCTGCAGTCACTGTGTCAATCCACCTGGTTGAGGCTGAGAGTTTTCCTATCCTTTGCCATCCCTCCACCTTTCCAAGTATGATGTCCTTCTCCAAGCAACATGCCCAAAGTATGCGAGATGAAGCTTTGATAAACTTGCTTCCGAGGAACACTCTGGCTGCACTTTCCCCAAAATATATCTGTTTGTTCTTTTGGCAGTCAATGTGATTATTCAGTACTCTTCTCCAGCACCACAGTTCAAAGGCATCATTTTTTCTTCTGCCATCCTTATTCACTATCCAGCTCTTAGCAGCATAGCAAGTTATTGAAAAGACCATGATCTGAGTCAAGCACACTTTAGTCCTCAGACTAATGTCACGGCTTCTCAGAGAGGTCCCCGACTATACACTTTCCCAATGCAGTACAATTGAAAGTCATTTGTAGGCCCCATTATCCAATGAAATTGAGGACTTAAAAAAAAAGAAATAAAATAAGGTTAGATAGAGCAATTATGTGCTATGCATCAGAAGGCTGGACAATGACGAGGGATGATAGAATTGATGCCTTTGAGCTGTGGTGCTGGAGAAGAGTATTGAATATGCCATGGACTGCTAGGAGAACAAACAGGTTCATCCTTAGGTCTCTCTTGGAGAGGGTGAAACCAAGTCTTTTCTTGGAGGCAAGGATACTGAAGCTTCATCTGACATACTTTGGGCATGTTGCAAGAAGGGCCCAGTCCTTGGAGAGGGACGTCATGCTTGGGAGGGTGGAGGGACAGTGCAGAAGGAGAAGACCCTTGATGAGATGGATTGACTCAGTGACTGAAGTAATGGGGGTAGACGTGCCGGAGACAATAAGGTTGGCTCAGGATAGAGCTGGGTTCAGAGCTGTTGTAGGGTCACTATGAGTTGCAAGCGACTCAATGGCACATAACAACATCAAACAGCAAAGATAGAGCAGAACAAAATAATATAAAAATAGATGACTATGTGTCCTATACTGACAGTGTAAACACAGTTTCCTGAAACTAGGTTAGGGGTGTGTGCGTGCGTCTGTGTGTGTATCTGCACACGTGCATTTATGTGTGTATGGGATCATGATGTAACCTTTAATTTGTCCTGTTGGATCACAATCAAAATGAATGAAAGCTACTGCTGTGCTGACAGGGAGCCCTCAAAGACGTTTTATCAGGAGAGAGTCGCCATCGGATCTGTGTTTTAGAAAAGCACTGCAGTGTTAAATGGCATGACTAGAAATAGGAGTATCTGTTAGGTCCACAGGGAGGTGATAAGGTTTTGAACCAAATTGGATCAAGAGCTACCCAAATTTGGAGGACTGCAGATATAGTGTGGTTAGCATGGGAACAGCATCAGCTGACTTCTAATAACCTCTCTCGGGGAAATAATCTCTATCAACAACATAAAAAACTCTGAAGCCAATTCCTCTGAGGTCAGACATGTCCTATACCACACATTCAAACCTCCTCTAACAGTTCTGACACCAGCCCTCCCTCCCGTAGCCTGCCCTTCTCTGCTGGGTTTGATAATTCACTGCAGTGGCTGCATGGGACTCATGGACAATATTCACAGTTAGGGAATTTATTGGGGTGGGGGGGTGTAACAAGTTACAATTTGGAAGCAGGAATGACTTAGGATATAATTCTTCAATCAAGACATGCCCTTTTCTGTCTTGAGAGGCCTGTCTCTGGACCTAAGCCTCATGGCTTTTGCCTCTGTCCTGCTTGGGTAAGTGTTACAAAACACTTTCAGCTCTGCCAGTGATGTGCCCAGCAGCATCCCTACTCTGCCAGGAAGACTAGGCCCCCAAATGGTTGGTTTTAGTTCCTTGGTTCAACAGACCTAGTTCCCTAACAAATAAATGCCTGCCGGCCCCAGCTCTATGAGCTGCTTCTTATTCCAGTTTCCTGGTTCTGCAGCCTCTTCTGCTGCCACTTTTCCTTGGTAGCTGCTTGTAGTATTCAGGTTTTACAACTTCAGATCCAAAAGACGTGCTGATATCCTGGCTCTCAGTTTAAGTCTGGCAGGATGACTAAACTGACCAATGTCCCTGTTAGCCTCCCACACATCTTGGTTGAAAGGTCCCACCCAGAAGATGTGGCCTAGTGGTAAGCGGCTTCACTGCTAGCTTGAACAAGCCCACCAGCTCACTAGCTGTTCCACGGGAAAAAGATGGGCAGTCTCCTCAGGTGCCGTTTACTGAATCTGAAAACCCACTGGAGGGTCAGTTGTGGGTTGGTTCTGACTGTTGTTACTGTTGGTACACAATAGTGACAGATATTAGCACAGGGAGCTTTTGTGGTGTTTTCTGTAACAAGTGTACAACTAACCCAAAGGGTGCACATCTCTGGCAGTTCAAATCCATCAGTTTTGTGGGAGAAGCATGGCCAGTCTCTCCCTTGGTGATTTACAGCTCTGGAAACCCAAAGAAGCATCACTTTGAGTCAGAAGTGACTCAACGGTGTGAGTGATTACTAATAAGCCATCGAGTCCCCTCGGTGTTTCACAAACTCTTATTTGCATAGTCTTATGCAGCCATGTGGCAGGAGTTAGAAAGACCACATCACACAGTTCACTCCACCACAACGGCTCCGTTCAGGCTCCTCTCACTCCGCAGAGGTCACAGCTTCCCAGTGAGACCACTGGATGCCAGCATACAGCTGAAGTGTGACTGGGGCAGGGCACGTTGAACCACCAGAGTAGGACCTTCGACTAGGCCTTCTCAACTCTTTTATTTCTGTATCTGTTTTTGTACTTAAACAATGAGTTTATTGTTCGAGTACATAGACAAATTTATGCAACCACCAGAGGCCATGGATACTTCCTATTTCCAGTTGGGAGTGGAGTGGAGTGGACAGGACTCTGCCTAATGCTATTGAGGCAACCAGTGACTCAGAACCATGCGAAATTTAGCACCCTTACCATTTCTGCTCCTCTCAAGATGCTTTTGAGCAGCACCAGCTTTCTTAATGGAATTATAGAGATCCTCAGATGATCAGAAGCAAGTCCTTGGGACTCAAGGATTCTTGTGCAGTGCCATGCCAGTCTCTTAGGTTCACACCAATTTGTGAAGGAGTCGGGCTCTTCTTGGCTAGTTTTTAAATCAACCCCTACACATCGTCAGATGTTAGCTTCAGTGGGGAACACTGAAGCTATATGGCAGAGTGGGCTAGGATAGGCTTTCCCCCTGAGCATGCTTGCGACCCTTGATGCTGGCAGCCAGCAGAAAAGAAAAAAGAAAAAAAAAAGACAAAGGCAAATTGATGCAAGCAAGTTGATGGCACAGTCTTTAAGCTGGGATGAATAGTTATTGTTGTTAATTGCTGTGGCTTCACTTCCAACTCTCCATGACCCCATGTGTGCCAAATAGGCCTGCTCCACAGGATTTTCAGGGCTGAGATTGAATACAAATCACTACACTTGATGTCTGAGTGGCCTCTGGGTGGATTCCAGCACCACCTTTCCAGCCAAGAGTCAGTTAACTTGTCTGCATCACCCAGGACTGATGAAAATGGGAAAGAGTAAAAGAGACTGTGATCTCCTCAGAGATAGAGCCAGAGGAGGGGGTGGCTCTCCAGCTGGTTTCCTTCCTTCAGTGGCACAGAGGTCCTCCCCCCATGGGGCTTCCACCCTCAGGCTCCCTGAGCCCAAAGCCCCGCCCTCTCTGCAGGGCACATGCAGGCACCCTCCTCCTAGTTTATCTTTCCTAACTCAGGACTCGCACTTACCCCTTCCTGGTTCCATGTTGTCCTATATCTCTTCCCTCACAAGCCAGTGAAGAATTCTGAGCCTCCTGTTCAGATCAAACAGTGCCCATAAATCTACCCTCAGTACGTGACAAGGGCCTGATTCGGACGAGTGGGTGAGTCACTCTGCTGAGCTGTGTCTATGCTGCAGGGAGTGGGTAGAAGACACCCAGCTATGGATCCAGCAAGTGTCCAGCACCCCGAGCACCAGGATGGATGTGGTGCATCTCCAGGAGCAGTTAGATCTGAAGCTGCAGCAGCGGCAGGCCCGGGAGACGGGCATCTGCCCAGTGCGCAGGGAGCTCTACTCGCAGTGCTTTGGTGAGTGGGGTCTGGGCCCTGGGTGGTGCACACCACACCTTTCATCCTTCTTCCCCTCCCCTTTGGCACAGAGCTAAGCCAGGTACTCCAGATGGAAACCCACTCCTTCCCCTCTTTTTATTGTGATTTAAGTGAATTGTTATAAAGCAATTTGGTTTTCTAGCCAACCATTCCTATTAATTTGGCTTTGTGACATTATTTAACTATACATGCAATGTAACTGCACTCAATCCACTTCCTCTCTGAGATTCTCGTTTCCATTAATTCTTCTATCCTGCCTTTTCCTGGCTCTGAGCGCTGTCCCTGGACAAGTGCAGTCTAGGTCTGGTTTGCATGGTTGATTATTTTAAGGAGTGTGTGCCTTCCTGGTTGTTGATCACCTCATAGGCCTGTTTATTGTTGGGCAGAAAGGTGAGCCACAAGTGGTGTGAGTTCTGTTCGTGGTTTGAGAGGGAAGGCTTCCTTCCTTGGGGGTATTTATCCTCTCTATGAGATCCTTTTTTAAAAAAAAATTCTGCTAGTTTATTTACAAAATTCAAATAGTTTCCAAGAACAAATTCTTTCAATTGCCGTCATCCCCACCCATCAAATTGTACAACCCGATGATTATTAAATCCCCCCTCCCCCTGCACATCCTCTTTTTTATATTATTTTTTAATTGATATTTTAATGAAAGTTTACAGAAAACTTGGATTTCCATTCATTCATTGTTGTGCATTTTCCTCCCTACCTTCCCCAGTTTGCTTTTCTTTTTTAAAAAAAATTCTTTCATTGTTGCACAATTTCCTCCTTCCCTTCCCGCCCACCCTGAGATCCCTTTTTAAAAAAAACAAAAGCAAAACCAACACCTTTTATTGTGATTTGAATGAAATTTGTTTCCCATTCAACAATTCAGACACATTTTGCTCTGTAGTATCGCTAGCAAGCCTCATGTCACAGCACTCTTCCTGGTTCCTCCTTGTGTTTCCTGTTCTCAGTCATCTTTCTCCTTTGTTTCCTGTTCTCATTCATCTTTCTTTTCCTTCCTTTCTTGACTTCTGAATTTTATCCATGAGTCAGTGTTGCCCTTATGGTTTTGTATGTTGATTGTTTAAGGATTGAGTTCCTTCCTGGAACTGTTGATCACCTTTTTAGTCCTCTGGTGGCCTAGTGGGTAAGGAGTTACACTGCCAGCCTAAAGGCAGGCCATTCAAATCCACCAGCTGTTCTGAGGGGAAAAGATGGCCATTCTCCTCCTGTGGGATTTACAGCCTCTGAAAACCCACTGGAGGGTCAGCTATAAGGGAGAGAACTTACATGCACTCATCAACATTTGGCCCTCAGTCTAGAATAATATTGTTGGAGAGTTGGTTAACAAAGGGATTTAAGATCTTCCTCCCCAACGGCTGGTGTGGACAGCGGCCCTCCAGCCCACTGGCCTGTGGCCTCTGATCTGTAAATAGCCTTGTGAGCCTGTGGCAGCTGCAGAGAAAGAGCTGGCTTCTCTGAGTCCAACTATGGCCAGCTCTCCAACTCAGCTCTGTTGTTAGTTGCCACCAATTTGATTCTGAGTCAGGGCAACCCCATGTGTGTAAAATAGAACTGCACCCAGAGTTCTCAAGGCTGTGATGTTTCCAAGGCCATTTGCCAGGCTTGCCCTTCAGAGTGCGTCTGGGTGGGCTTGAACTGTGTATGCGACTCAGACCAAGCTCGAAACCCTTTTTCTAGCCACAAAACAGCCCTTTCAAGGGACACACAGCATTTCCCCTCTGCTCTCAGAGAGCTCATTTCAGAATGCACTCTAGTGGCGCAGTCCAGATCTACTGGCTGTGGGAGAAAGATGGACAGTCTCCTCCCACGCGATTTACGGCCTCAGGAAGCCTGCTGGAGGGTTAGCTATCCGTTTGATCCCCACAGCAGTGAGAGGTTTTGAGTTTTCAAAGAGCTACCATCTTCAAACTGAAAAGAGCAAATTTCTCTGACTAGCTCCGTTGTTGACAGACTTGGGACACCTGTTGCCCTCTGTCCTGGCCAAGCTGGGCTGGCTGACTGCTGCACCCACAGGCCACGTGCAGAGGAGTGGCTGCGTGGCTCAGCTCCCTGGTCCTCTGGATGCCCCCACCCTCAGGGCCTGCCCTGAACATTGTCCTGTGAGGAGGTCACACCTACCTTAGATTCCTTCCCAGTTAGGAAGATGGTTTGCAGGAAACAGTGCATTTCTTCCTCCCCGCCCTGACCTGGCTGTGTGCCTTGGAAGATGAGCTGATCCGCGAGGTCACCATCAACTGTGTGGACCGGGGGCTGCTGCTGCTTCGCGTCCGGGACGAAATACGCATGACCATCGCTGCCTACCAGACATTGTACGAGAGCAGTGTGGCGTTCGGCATGAGGAAGGCACTGCAGGCCGAGCAGGGGAAGTCAGACATGGAGAGGAAAGTGAGTGGGTTCACCAGGAGCTTGTGACCCTCTGTGATTCCGTCAATCTCAGGGCCACACAGCCATCCTACATTCTGACTTCCTTGGGTGCTCCTTGACACTCATGACCCTTGGGCTGGCATCAGCTCATTGAGGACCTCTTAGTGTAGTTTAACAGCCACCCTGCTAATAGCAGTTGCATCTCCGGTCGATGCTCCATGCCAGGCACTAATGTCCCACTGGGTGGCAGTACAGACCCTGGCAATGTTTTGAGTTGGACAGCTGTGCCCCAAGTCCCCTCTTTCAGGCACTCACACCACCCTGCCGGCTCGGCAATATCCCAGGATGACCGGCGTGTTCTGTCCTCAGATTGCAGAACTGGAAGCAGAAAAGAGAGATTTGGAGAGGCAAGTGAATGAGCAGAAGGCAAAATGTGATGCCACGGAGAAGCGGGAGAATGAGAGACGGCAGGTGGAGGAGAAGAAGCACAATGAGGAGATTCAGTTCCTGAAGAGGACGAACCAGCAGCTGAAGGTTTGCAGTGTTCCTGTCCTGGGGCAGAGGCACCTTTCCACCCACTCCTCCCCTCTCTGCTCCCTCGGCCCATGCAGGCCCAGCATTCAGCTCCTCTCCCTCCGATGAGCTTTTAAATATTTGCACAAAGGCAGCTTTTTGAAGGGGGAATATTAGGAGTCACTACCTAGGTTCTTTCTCCATCTGTCTGGCTCTGAACGGGGGCGCTAGCGCTACCCAAAATTACTTTCCATGCAAGAAAAGTTGCCCATTCTTAGGGCTAAAGCAGCAGGCAGTCTTGGGGGCACTGAGTTTGGAGCATAAACTGGGAATAGTCAGAACTGTTGGAAGGCATGGAAGTTATTCTAAAAGTAGAAACCTTTTCAAGTTAGAAGTCTTCAGGCATGTAGTCAGAGGAACTCTTAATACTGGTGATGTACTTTGATTTCTTTGAGGTGATGGGAGGGAAGGGGATTGGTGAAAAAGGCTGGGCTGGAAACCAGGCTGCAGGCCCCTGCAGCTCGAGCTAGACAGGTCCCAAGTCCCCAGATGGTGGCAGACCAGTATCTCCTTCATCACCTGGCAACTTGCAAAATAGATTTCTGAGCCCACAGTAAGAATTCAGACTTGCTGGGTTTGGAGACCAGCCAATCTTTTTCCAAAGGCCTCAAGTTGATCCTGATGCAAGCCAGAGCTGGAGAATTCCTCCTTTGGTTTTTCTGTTGGCCCCTTTCATTGGCTTTCCCATAGGCCTGGCCAGAAGAGCCCCCACTCTTCTCCCTCCACTCCCTGCTGAAGCCCCAGGTCCATGGAAAGCTTACATTCTTGAGATTGGCAGGCTTTCTAGCTCTAAAAGCAAGAAGGCAGAGCATATGAGAGAAAGCAGGGTTTGTACTAACTGCTAGATGACATAGTTGCTGAAAACTTACCAGAGATCAACCTTCACAGCCAGATGCAAATCTGTTTACTTAGCAGCCTTTAAAAAATGACTTCCCTTATCAGCGTATTCCTTTGTCATAAACCCCAGAGTTCTTCAGTTTCTCCTATTAGTGGCAATAGGAAAGCAGACTACCTTAGCATCTTTCTAACATTTACAAGCAGCCCGTTAAATCCCTAGGGTGAAGGATTCTTTAGAAGTGAGTTATTTTTATTGGCTCAAAGCTGCATTGCAAATAAAGAAGTGTTTGCAGTCCCCAGGACAGACCTACTTAAAGATCTGTCCACACACTAGAATAGTAAATTATTTTACTGGCTGCCAGAGGAACAAAGTAAATAACTCCCAAGTGTCTTAAGCTTTACATACAAGACAGACGGCTCCCCACTCCCTGGTAGCAATTTTCTCTAATTGGGTGTCAAGTTGTCTCAGTGACTGAAAATTTGCTGTTCCTGAAAACCTCTTGTCCCAGTACAGAACACGCAGGGTCCCAAAGCAGGGAGCCAAATGTTTAACTTTGCAGACATATTCAGGCCTGCAATCTGAGCCATGAAAAACCACTATTTCAACAACTTTTATTCAATTTCCTTTTCAATGCTTTCTATTATACACTGAGCCGTTACTATATGGAAACCAGGGCAGCTCTGGTTTCTCCTGATGTAGCAAGACGGAACGCCAAGCCAGAAAGCAGCTAATCTAGAAAATATGAAGCTGGGAATGGGGGGGGAGGGCACTCTTAAGAGTGGCAGCGCTTAGATTATCCTTCCCAGAGACTTTTATCACCTCTTAGCTATGTGTTAGGCTGCATGTTTCAAATATTAATGGAGTTTTTGTTTTTCAGGCCCAACTGGAAGGCATTATTGCACCAAAGAAGTGATAATTTCCATATGGGGCTCAAGCACTACTGACTACCCTATTATAAGCCCTTTATAGTAAAAAGCTAGTTTCCCAAGTGAACAGGCCACGACCGTCCCTGATCACCACCTCCGTCAAGTCACGCTCTTATGTCATGAGAACATCTAAAGTTTGGCAGCCAGGTTGCTGCTGACCCAGCAATGGAAGGTGGTGGGCTCGAGCTGGAGTTTACTGGCCAACCCTGGGATTTACCAACTGAAATATCAAGACTTAACCTCTCTCTGCGGTGTTCCTCCCAGGAGAAGTAACTTCTCATCACACATTTTCTGGCCAAATGAAGCTGCTTCAATTTTCCTGGTCCACAGTTTATCTTTGGCTCCTCTGGCTTCAGATCTTCCCTATGTGACATCTTTACATCCTTATTTCATTGCAGCTCTAGTAACTAGTTTTGGAACCTGGTTTTGTACTGTATTATCCCCACCTGTTAGGTCACATACACCCTTTGTTAATTCCAGACTATGGCTTTTGAGAAAGTAATTGTTCACATGGTGCCTTTTGTGAGCTGCTTTGCATTTCAGCTCTTGTTGGATTCATTCACCTTTCTGCAGAAAAATGAACCTTGTTGACCAACACCCTACACCCTGTAGCTGGCTAGATTAACAGCTGGAGAGCCAATCAAAACTCAAATGCAGTTCTGATTATCAACATCCAGGCTGTAGCCTGAAAATAACTATTTCCTCAGGTTAATATTTTTATCTCAGAAGACTGAATTAGCAGCCTAAATCTTTATCCCAGGGCAGACAAGAAGGGCTAGTGCAGGAGGTGGAGTGACTTCCACTAGTCATGTTTCACAAGTCTTGTATCCAAGAAGGAACTAACATTTGCACTTGCCCAGAACACCTCAGGTGCTCAGCACTCCCGTCAGATGGAGGGACTCGCGGCTCAGCAGAGCGAACATTCACCTGGGAAGGGCTGCAAGGGTCAGTGGAAGGGCCACGGCCTCATGGATTTTATCTATGTAATTTCAAACTTGGTCATACTTTTTACCGTTATACATCTGTCCTGAGGAATTCTAAGACTCCACTAAATATGGCCTGCCTGTGCTGTCACTTCATTGGAAAAATCATCTGCTAGTTCTGCAACTCTCTGGCAATAAAGCACGTATATGATTAATGATCTATTTAGTAGACTCAATGAGCAATCTGAGGTTGGTGTAGTTTTCCCTACATATTTTAAAGCCTAGGCCATGTACCCTGCATCTCTGAAAGTTTTTTACATTGATGTTTCTAATTCTTAACTGTCAGTATGAAAACAGCACATTTCCCATGCCATAGCCCGTTTTTGTCAGACATTTATAATGTAGGGTTAGACTTTTGTAGATACAAAGAGGGCTAATTCATGTGTCTGTGTGCCAGGAGACTCCTAGGGGCAAGGCAGCTTTATCTTCACTCTTAACCAGCACTGGGGATGGCTTCAAAGGTCAAAGCTCAGAACACAAATGCATGACGGTCTTAGAAATGCCAACTATATATAAGGAAATTCTCTAACTGCATATTTTTGTATAATTTAATAAACAACTTTTCAACTGTTAGGACTTATTCTTGAATTTTTTGTGTTTGTGTTTCTGTCCTTGTCTTTCTGAGTCACTGGTCTTCTTTTTGTTCCTGTTCCTGTTTTTCACGTTGTGTGTTTCGTAGTAACGCACACCAACTTTTTTGGAATGCTGCTGCCGTGCTGCTCTCCTCTTCTGCGAAGAGAGAAAAGAAAAACGCCAGTCAAACACTCAGGTCTCCTCACTTCTGTGCTCCACTGCTAAAGCTGCCTCCAAAATTATTGGCAGCGAGTGTGAACAAGGGAATCTGGCAGACCCACGTTTACTCTCCTGTAAACACAATGTTAGGGATCCTCACCAGTCCCTCATCCAATGCTTGAATGCTTTTTACAACATTCTTAACAAATGGATCCCTAGCCTGAGGCTGAACATTTCCACTAACCACCTCTCCTGAAGGTTCCAGCTCCAGGTCCCAAGCTATTTTCCATAAATTAGTGATCTGTCTGACCACACATTTCTACTCATTTGTGTGTCATTTCCTGGGACCACACAAATCAAACTGATTCTTGCAGAAGTCACATACTAGAAAACAGGAGCTCAAGAATCCTCCTCCAGTGAGCTAGCTACCACACGTAAGTGGTCCCGACCAGTCATTCCAGGCTGAAGCTCTAGACCATCAGTTTCAGAGAGTGGGGCTCAGAAATGGGTATCTCTCTGCTTTCTACAACTGGGTGAGAGTAAGGCCAACCCACTTACTTCCTTAGATGTGAGCACTCTGCGAGCTTTGTTTGAATCCTCCTCTTCTCTCTGTGCCTTTCTCTTTATTCCCTTCTTGGGAGGTGGTGCTAAAAACAAAGACAAACATGGACAGAAAAGATACAAGAATCAAAGATCCAAAAATTTATCTTCAGTCCATCTTGGGATTATAAAGTTTTAAGATAACATTTTTTTGAATTGACGATGTCATGAAATATACAGCGTGAAAAATAGACAATCCAATTTATATGATACATCCTTTGTGGGGTCAGGATAATCTGACAATGTGATAAATATCTACAAGTACAATGTTACTACAAAAGAGAATGTGGAGATTACACTTAAGATTTTCCAAAGTTCTAAAGCTATGGTGTTGTTGTTGATTGCCTTCAAGTCAAGCATGATTCATAGCAACCCTATGAACAAAAGGTTTGAAGCCCCTCTACAATAATTGACATTTATCAAAGTTCACAGGATTTCCAGAGACATGTTATTTAGGAAGTGGATACCACTCCTGCTTCCAATAAAGCTGTGTAGTGATTTAAATAATTTACCTTTATCTTCTACATCTTCTTGTTCTTCGGATTTTGCAAAGACCTTTTCACTGAGCCCCTTGGATATTCTACAACAGAAAAGCTAAGAATTGAAAAGTATCCAGTATTCTCAATGGCCCACAGCCCATGCTGATGGAGACAGGTAGAAACCTGGTTGTCTGGAGCACCCCTACTCCCTTTTACGGTAACCTCCAGTGACAGACGTCATCATCTCATAGTTGTCACTCCCATAGATTTCTAAAAACTGAGCAGCTACTTGGTGTACTTCAGGAAGCTGCATCTGCTGTATTTTAAGAAAACTCCCCTCTAGATACGGCTTCAGGAGCCTTGGTGACACAATAGTTAAATGTTCGGCAGTTAACTAAAACGTCCACAGCCTGAACACCGGCAACTCTGTGGGAGGAAAGATCTGTTCCCCTAAAGAGTAGCACCTAGGAAAGCTGATAATAGTCTCAAGACTGACTCAGCAGCCAGACAACACACACAGCTCAACGCTCATGTCAGCTTTCCGGGACCAAACAGCAAGTCACAAATTAAAACACTACCTGACTGCTGAAAACTTTTTAGCTTTAGCTTTGTTTAAAAACTTCCGGTATTTAGCAATCTTTTCATCCAGGGCTTTAATAACTGCTTTGGTGTCATTGACCACAGGCTCCTCCTGGTACTCCAGGAAGGACTCTGCCTCCTCATCCCCTCGCTGCTCCTGTTCCTCCTCATCGTCTGCAGAGCTCTCAAGTTCTTCCTCGATGTCTGACATCTCCAAAGGAACCAGGTCATCCCCAGAAAACTGAGGCGCAACATTGATCTTGCCAAAGTTCTGCCGAACCCGGGCGAGGATCTGCTGCATCTCCGAGCTGGTGTCACTATAATCACTTGGCCCTTTTTCCTTCTCAGGGACAGATTCTGTCACTTCATCCACAGTGTTGGTGTCTTCCTCTTCTGGGTTGGCCTGGGTTGTTTCTGTAGCTACTTTCAAAGGCGAGGTGCATGGGAGCTATTAATATCAAAAAGAGAGTGAGGGGAAGAGAGAAAAAGAATCAGAAAATGAAAACTCAATTTTAAACTCTTACCTTTTTCCTCTTCTTGGGACTAAGGTAATGTACAGAAAATATCCACATTCAAGCATTATTGTTTAACAGTTATGTTACTGTTAGGATAGTGTATTATTTTATCTGATAAATTCCATCAAGAAATGTATTTACCTTTCCAAGAGTACTGAAGTGCAACGACATTAGGCTGGAGACTAAGGTGTGCCTGATCCAGGCTATAGTCTTTGCAATTACGTGCTATGCATTGGAGAGTTGGACAGTGAATAGGGATGAGAGAAAGACAATTGATGCCTCTGAGTTGTGGTGCTGGAGAAGAGTGTTGACTATACATGGACTGCTAGGAGAACAAACAGGTTTTTCCAGGAGAGGATGAAGCCAGAATGTTCCCTGGAGTCATGGATTCTGAAGCTTTGTCTGATATACTTTGGGCATGTTGCAAGGAGGGACTGGTCCTTGGAGAGGGACATCATGTTTGGGAGAATGGAGGGACGGCGCAGGAGAGGAAGACCCTCGATGAGATGGATCGATTCTGTGAATGGAGTGGTGGGAATGAATGTGTTCGAGACGGTGAGATTGGCACAGGATAGGATGGCATCTAGGGCTCTTGTACACAGGGTCGCTATGAGTCGCAAACGATTCGATGGCACATAACAACAACAACAACAACAACAACAACAAAGGATGTAAACAGTCAAAGTCATTGCCACAGAGCTGGAACCAACTGGTAGCTGACCCAAGCAGGTTTTCAGAGACTGTAAATCATAGGGGAAGAGAATGCCCATTAGTCTCCAATGGAACCACTGGTGGGTGTGAAGCACCTGTCTTTAGGTTGACCAGCCAGAAGTTGAAACTGACTCCATGGCAGTGAGTGAGTTTAGTAAATGTCACATACTAAGATTAGTGCTCGAGGAGAATCTTTTGGGAAGGGTAGAACATAAAAAAGAGAGGTTTTATGAGGGAGAACCCAGAGTAACACTCTGACCTGAGGTACAGTGACAAGACTAGCTATTTTATGTAACAGTGAAAGGTAAGCCTGTGCCACATCCCTCCTCTTTCCATTTACAACAGCCTTTCACCCTTGAAATTCAGACTCACAGAATACCCATAATTTTCCAAAACCAAGAGTGATAAAGCAAAGTAATTCTTTCATGTGATTTACTGGCACTGAAAATCCACTTGAGCATCAGCCATGGATCGGTTCCAACTCAAGAGCACACAATGACAACAAAGCAAAATGCTAAATAAATCAAAGTCCCTAAAATCCAGGGAATTACAGAGAATATGTATACCTCAACATACTTCCAGTGAGACTATCTTTAGTATGCAGATTCTGCAAAAGGTTGTGAACCCTCCCCACAAATAAGGAGAGATGAGAATCAGAGAGTTGGGGAACATGATAGTTTTTAGAAATTATCTGAACTCATTCTTTAAATGTAATTACTATATAAGGAAAAAGGATTAAAGTTAACTCTACCATTGCAATAAAAGGGTAAAAGGTAGCAGCGACACAGATTTCCAGAAAGATTCTTTAGAAGTACTTGAGGTTCCTTGTGAACTCAAAACCCTTCCATGACACCGAACTCTCTGTCCACTACACCTCGTACTCTCCACACAGCCAGCACAGCCCGGCTCAGGTAACGGGCTGCCATGCCTCTGCTGGGAGTGCTCTCCTCCAAGGATACTGTGTGTGGCTCACACCAGCTAGTCTGTGCTCAAACATCACTTCCCCAGAGGACTACCCAGACCAGTCTATGCACAAAAGCAATGTATCATCTCCCTCAAACCCTTAACCTGCTTTCCTCACAGAACTCCCTAATCCTCGACATTCAGTATCTATCTGTTAACAGGTCATCTCTTCCACTGGAATGAAGTCCGCTCACTACAACATCTTCAGGACCTAGAAAAAGACCTGGCACAGACGAAGCAATACAAGTTTGCAGAATAAAAGACTTAATAAGAAAGGTGGGAGAGGAGCTATTTTGTTTAGTTGTAAGGCAATGAATTAATTCTACTTGTGGGTATGCTGACTTTGACTGCTACCAAACAACGGACGCTCTAGTTAGAGGAAACCAGAGTCACATAAACACAAAAACACATAAGTGAAACTAGAAGCCACCTCTTCAAGACACTTAGCTGTATTCTGTAAAAGATCCTAGAAACAGGCGAGCTCTGGTGGCCTAGTGGCAAGAAGCTCCACTGCAATCCCAAAGGTGCATGGTTCGAATCCACCAGATGTTCTGCTGGAGAAGGAGGGACAATAGCCTCCTGTACCAGTCAGATCTGATTTGACCGTACACACACATAAAAATAATAAAAAAAGTCCTGGAAACAGAAGCAAACCTCTCAAGATGGAGTCTTTATGAAGTCCACTGCAAGGGTAACAGAAACCGATTGAGAGATGCTTCTCAGTTCAGCTCAGAAACCTCAAATCACTTCCTTCCCTGAATATCAACTGTACTTGAATGCAAATTTGCGGGCAAGGGCTATGTTAATCATTCCTCTCTTTTCTCTGCCTGGCACATGGTTGATTCTAAAGATTTACAGCCCTGGAAAACCAGTGGAGGGGGCTATACTTCCCCTGAGGCAGGTTCACTCTCTGCCTTTTCCCATTGAGGAAAATGCCCATCACTGAGAAAAGCTTTTTACCTGTGGAGCTGCGGAGGGCTCTGCATTGGGAGGCTTGACAAAGAAAGGTATCCGGCCCCTCTGCCAGTCGTTAAGGACCATCTTACTCACTGTCTGCAAGTCCGGCTCACCACCCTGAAACGCCACAGAAAGGCTCCAAATTAAAGCCAAAGAACAAACCACTCCCCAGTTTGGACGTCTTTCAGTTGCCCAGCTGTTCACTGCCACCTACTGGGCAATTTAATACTGCACATACAGAAATGGTCCACATCCCACAGCTGGCCTGCAGGTACCAGTTCTGACAGCATGTACGTATACAGCAGTTCAACTTCTTAGAGATCCCAACTCACCTTTAATAGTTTCCCAGTCCGGAAAGCTAGCTTCTCAAGGAAGTCTTCAGCATTCTCCCAAGAATCAATCTTATATGTCTTGCTGATATATTCAGGCTTTGCTCGTTCAAGTATAGCACCAATGTGGTCTTCAGGACTCTTAATTTTTTCAACTTGAACCTAGACATTAACAGAAAGCCTCTTGCTCACAAACTTTATTATGGAAGGAGTGACATTCCCAATGTTCTTTGTAACCGTACTTGAAAACAGATTTCACCATCACCAGGGGAGCCTGGCAGGAGCCACCCTCAAGGTGGCCAGTCACGGTCGACTAAAAGGAGCAATGCTGAGAGCCAAGTTCAGCAGTGGGAGCTCAGAACTCAACTTTAATCCCAGTTTACCACGAACTAACTGTGTGGCTTCCGCAAGCAGTTTAAACTTGGAACGCTTCACGTTACTCAATCATAGAAATGGTTAAAAGCCTGCCAAAGCCAGGACACCAAAAGAATGGAATAGTTTAAGAAAGGAAAGAAGGAATATGCACAGGATGTATAGCCAGAAGCACTGGTTAAGTAAGAACCATTTAAAGTTTTCGGTCGAATTCAGAAACAAGTGAGGAAATGACTAGGTTCCAAAATGACTCAACCCATAAACCCACGAAGATGAATTATCACTAAACATAAACAGGCCCTGCTTCCCCTTGGATCCTGTGTGTAAACGAAAAACTCTTTTGTGGGATGATACTGACCAGATATGCCTGTGGCTCCACAAACTCCTCAGAGAGGCATAAGTGGTAGGAGAGGCTGCCCTGTTCAGCATCAGGTTCCTAAAGTTGGGGTGGACAGGCTGACCCAAAAATGCCTTCTGAATGAGTAAAAAGTCAAGGTATCCAGGCTTCCCCACAGAATAGTCCCCCCAAAAGGCAAAGAAAGGACCTTTCATGAACCACAATACTCACCACTCCTTTCAGCACGATGTCTGTCTCTGAATCCTCAGACGGGTAAACCACACCTGGACAGTCAATGAGGAATATCCGACGCATTAAAGTGATGTACTGCCAGACCTTAAGATGGAAAAATAGTCAGAGGCTTGCCTGGTCAGATACTGTGTTCACAACCCCCAACAATCCTGCAAGAATCGAGGGGAGGGGTGGTGGGAGTCACAGAAAAGCAACCTGCTGAGTAATTGAGCTACTAAGCCTCCCTCCTCCTCGTGCCAGCATGGGACACTTCCACTTAGTATAAACTATAGTTTCCATCAGCTAAGAGTCTAAAAATAATGCACAGGCAAGATTTCCAACTAGCATTGTGCAATAATGCCCAATAAACCTTTCTCTAACTTTTCAAAGTATTCTTGGAAGTGTCTCTATTTAGCCTCTTGTTCTTCAAGCAAACCATGCTACTCCCCTAACCCTGTCTGTGTTCCAGGGTGTGACTCCCATGGCGACCCTGTGGTTCAGTTTTTCTTCCTAACTCAAGCAGCAAATATCCTTGCATTAGTTTTGCTTGATAAACAACTGAAGGCTAGAAGTGACAGGAATTTTAAAACTGACTTTCATATGAATAGCATTTACCAAATCATATCAAATTCACACACTGGCATAGAAAGTAGAGAGTCCCATCAAAGTGGGCAGAAACAATTCCAAACTATTACACGGAAAACAAAACTCCCAAGAGTGGTCTTCAATCAGGAGAAGCAGGTATAAAATCTCGATGTTCTACACAACGATCCTCCAAGGAAATAAAATATACAGACTAAGATTCTCTCAAATCAGACACGTACCTTGGTTTCACCTGCAATGGGAGCCACGTTGCAAACTTTCTTGGAACGTAATGTGTTTATCACAGAGCTCTTGCCAACATTTGGATAGCCGATGAACCCGACGCTGATCTGTTTCTTGTCAGTGTGTAACTGTTCAAAGAAAAGAACACTCAGCAGTCGTGAGTATCTCCTCAAAGAGGTGGTGTTACGAAAACTATGAGATATCGTCTTAACCCAGTCAGAATAGCAAAATTCAGCAGAGCAGCAAACAAAAAATGCTGGCGAGGTTGTAGAGAAACCGGAACCCTTATTCACTGCTGGTGGGAATGTAAGTAAAATGGTGCAACCACTGTGGAAGGTGGTATGGCACTTTCTCAAAAAGTTGCAAATAAAGATACCATTTGACTCAGCAATTCCACTACTGGGAATATATCTTAAAGAAACCAGAACTGCCACTCAGGCAAATATATGCACACACATGTTTATTGTGGCTTTATTCACAATAGCAAAGAGTTGGAAACAACCCAAGTGCCCATCAACAAAACAAATGGATAGAGAAGCTGTGGTATATTCACACAATGAAATACTATGCTGCATTGAAAAACAAGGAGCTCATGCAGTATTATTCAAAGTGGGTGACTCTGGAGGACATTATGCTAAGTGAAATATCTCAATCACAAAAGGACAAATACTATACAGTGCCACTGTTCTAAAACAAGGCTGACACTAGTGTTGGGCAGAACCTGAGAAAAGAGGGGATAAATAATGTATACTGCACTGAAACAGATGAGGGCGAGAACTGTTTAAGAGGAATAGAGGATTAGGTATTATCTTCACGACAAGATTACAGAAAAAGAAATGTGTATTAAAGTGGACTGTGGACTGGGGGAGGTTGTATAACAATGAAATATTTTTTTTTCTTCAAAGAGAAAAATGAACTGGAGGGAGGGGTGGCCAGGGAGGAAAATGTGCAATAATAAATGAATGGAGAAAATACTAAATGGAAAGAGTATGCTGTAAAAAAATATATATATGTTGCATTGAGATATCATTAATAAAAATCTATTTGATTAAAAAAACCAGGTGGTGTTACTTTGCTAATAAAGAATAGAGTACAACTTTTCTGAAAAGTTCTGGACAGAGTAAAAGGAAAATAAAGAATAGAGCACAAAATCAGAATACAGAGCAGGACTACTGGTCTGCTAAGAGACTGATGAAAACTTGAGGACCATTTTCTTAAAATACTCTCCACACTGGAGATGTACTCATTCATGACCTTCAACCAAACAATGGGCCCAGAAGGTGAATAATAACACCCCAAAAGTACAAGCTCCTCAGAACAATCATCTACACAAGATAAAAAAGGTACCACTACCTGCCCATGACACAGCTCAGAAGGCAGGAAAGGGTTGGAAAGACAAAAGGAAACAGTAAACACAGGGAAGAGGCAGGAGAGTGCTGTTACACTCTGGAATCATAAGCACTGCCGTGAAGCACAATGGGCGTCAACTGTTAAATGAAAACCCAACTGGTCTGCAAGCTTTAACCCAAATAGGAATAAAAACTGTTAAAAAGAGGAAGGATAAGATAGAGAGTACACAACTGAAGCCGTAACTTCAAGTGATGCCCACACACACCCCACCTACATAGTCTGAATGAGCTGGATACACATCATCATTAATAAGCAGAGGTGAATCATTTCCTTGATCATCATGTGACATTATCTTTGAATGTTTTAAGGTTAAAAGTATGTAGGTCGAGAAACAAAGAAAGAAAGAGCTTGTTAGTCATCAATTCAGAAGAACATCAGTCTCCGATAAAACTGTCTTCAGGGAGGAGTACTTGAACAGATTCCTCACCAACTGACAATCCTATGACCTATTCCAATGACCTTTCTTCCTTTGAACAATTTTGCACTCTTATTGCCAAGGGGGAAAAAAATAAACAACACAACAAAAAGAAAAGCAGTCTCGAAAGTGAGACTGCTGGGTCTAAGTGTAAAGGAGGGGCAGCCTGTTACCAAGAGCAGAGCTGATAGAGAAACGAGAGGACCCTTCTGAATAAAGGTATATGCTTCCCTCACCTCTTTGCAAGCTGCACCAGAACAACAGCAGCGAGGACTAACAAATACAAACTTACAGGTCAAAGAATGAGATGGAGAGGCGACAGTAAGAACAAACCGGCAATGCTAACAAAAGCGTGAAGATAGAAAATTGGATCTGACGTGGCCCACTGCAAAATAGGAAACTAAATGGCTGCAAAGGTAGAAAGGCTGAAAAATCAAACAAAATGATGCCTATGAATCACAAAAAGCCTCATGACCAGATACCCATAAGGGGAGAGTGAAAGTAAGCAGACTGGCTGGAAGCTGGGGTCTAGAGCCCCACTCCAACCCTTCCTCCTCCTGCACGGACACAGAACTTCCCTGCCCCACAGGAAGAGTCGAGTCTTGGGTCCCTTCTCTCCTGTTTCATGCTTACTCTTTTAACTAGACAGAACTTATCCTCCCTTATCAGAGATTTTTTCTTTTTTAAAATCCTGCATGTTTCAAGGGACCCTGGACTTAGAATACCATCAGCTGAAAGCTTGTGTTAGTAGTGACTGACTGGAGGCCTTAATACTGACTTGTGAGGATCCATGTCCCTTCCTCCCACAGAGTCCCCGAAGATGGGTAACTGTGCGTAGATGCTCCCAGCATCAAAGTGGGCAGAAAAGTCCTTTCTGGGGAGAATCACAAGCCCAAGATAAAACACTGACAGACACTGACATCTAGGATATTCTCCAACAAATTATTTGTGTTCCCATCTAACCACCCTACAGAGAAGTCTATCAGTCAACAAGCCCATGTGCAAAACTTTCCCCAGCTTTTTTGTGTCTCATCCTTAAATATGAATGGCAAGCTAAGGCGAGCCAAACATCTGAGAGTGACTCGGACAAAAAAACAGAAAAACAAACAGAGAGAGTTGGAGGAAACCAAGTCACTGTCAGGAGGGAGGAAAATTTCGAAACATCATACTCAGTAACATTCTCGGGGAGACAGTGGAGAGAACAATGCGTTCATGAAACAAGAATAGGATGCAAGGGGGAGGGGGAGGTGTGGCGACATGCACACTGAAGTAAGAGTTCCTAAATATGCTAAGTCAAAAGGAACAGACTCTCTATCCTCGTCGCTTTGACAACCCCTGCACCCGCCATGGACGTGACTGACAAGTGATCCTTCACGGCACCTTCAAGGGCCACAATGGCTGGGTGACCCCAACTGTGACCACTCTGTAGTTTCCAGACATGCCACTGTCTACCTCGCAAGATAAGACCCTCATCAGTGGAAGTCGACCAGAGCCGGAACCAACTACAGCAACCCTCAGCATGCTGTGTGTGGTCACTCCCACTCTGTTAGTGATGTGGTCCTCTCCTCTGATGGCCAGTTTGAAAGTAATAGGCAAAAACTTCATGAGAGAACAACTGGAGGATCAGGTCCAGGAAATTCCTCACAAAACAGTACAAATTATCACATATACACGAAACCAAAAAAGACATGAGAAGTAAAACTCAATTCCTGAAAGAGAATGGTGATGATGGCAAGGAGGAGAAAATTTCAAATAAACGATGCGAGATGAAGTTAACACACTAAGTCCCACTGCTCGCTGAACAATAAAACAGCCACCTCAGGTGCACCATCATGAACTTTCAGAACAGGAATTAAAAGAAGGCGTCCACAGCATCATCAGAAGCCAGAAGACAATGCAGTGGTGCCCTCAATAGTCTGAAGAAAGGCCATGCTAAACTTGAAGTTCTACATTTGGCCAAGAATCACTGGGAATGAGGGTATGAGAAAGACATTTTCAGAATGTAATGTCTCAAAAAATGTTCCTTCCCCTAGGTTGTCAGAGGCTGTCATGGAGGAGACTGCCTGTCTTTCTGCCATGGAGCTGCTGGTGGATTCGAACCTCGAGAGAAGTGTCACCTGTGGGTTAGCAGTACTAACACCCTATGGGCGGGGCCACCAGAGGTCCATGAAAAGGAACCAGTAAAGAAAGAAAGAAAGATGAAAAGGGACCCAACAAATAAATTACCAGCACAGGGAAGCAGCCATGGGGGCATTCCTGGATGTTGGGGAGAGGCAGCTCAGAGAGAAGGAAGACTGTGGAAGGACTGGACAGCAGCCCGTCCAGGGAGGACGGGTCGTCGCTGAAACAGACTGGCAGCTCGATGTGTTTGAGCTTTCTCAAAGTTCCCACTCTGCCAGAGATTTTGGGATATGTCAGTGACAGATATTTAAAAGAGAACAAATTAACACCTGAAAAAAAAGGTTTTATGGAAGAGAAATTATAATCAGAGCACATTGTGTGGATCAGCTGTGATTGTACTTAGTCATGAACGGACAAGAATTTAACTCACATTGTTCTAATGATAAGGGGAGAAGAGAGGAGTGGGAAGTGTCTGTGGGGGGAGTTCAGCTTGTAAGAAAGTGAACTCTTAATTTTCAAGAGAAGAAACTATAAATACTCAAAATTGGAGGTGGCTTGGAAATCAAAGACAGAATCCTAACCACACATTAAAAATATGAGCAAAATCACAGACATAGATATAACAGGCGAGGAGCTGGAAAATGTTTGCTATTGGGATATAGGAAAGGTGGGAGAGGTGTCTTTTGTTTGAAGCCAAGTAGAATTAATTATCTAACTGGACAAATGCAAATTACAACTATAGGTAGGAGCCAAAGCTCTGAGAACATTTACTAGGCTGGTCTGGTTTCAGGACTTCTGGACATCTGACCAGGAATCTGGAGCGTGAGTTCTGGCAGGGTGCTCCTCAGGCAGAGAGGACAGGAACCATACAGGCCCTGAGTGAGCAGAAAGCACACCAGGCCTTGGAAACACAGGGTAGAAGGTAGAGGCCTAACCTTGGGCAAAACCTGGATCATGGGCCAGAATACTGCAAAATGGGAAGCAATGCTGGTCGAGAAACAAGGAGTAAAAATTGTGCTATGCAACATTTAAAAATTCTTTACCATCCTGATGCTCTGAGAAGTTTGTACCTCTCCAGAGCACATTTTTCAATACCATGAGGATCTGGGGGTGAGGTCTGGACACACAAGAGGAATTCTTAAACTAAGACATAGTCACATAACTCCAAGAGAGACAGAGCAAGTCTCAATACCTTTCCAAACTGCCGTAAAAGCTGAATAAATGCTCCTTTGCCAAAGGGGTTAGTAAGACTTGCATGGAAAGCAAGTGTCGGATAATCCTGGGAGAGGACAGCAACCCAACGTTTCTGAAAGCATAAAAGAAAGATGCTGGTAAATGGCAACTTGCTGATTTACAATACAAAGAAGAGGCAAAACCTGAACTACAGGACTGCTTTCAAATGACACAGCTGCCAAAGGAAAATATAGCTATAATATGAAATGGCTTTCTAAGTATGACAGCATTAATACTTTGTCTTTTTTTTTTTTAATTTTAAATAAATACAAAACAGGATTCCAAAAGTGCCTAATTGCAACTATTTTTCCGTAACGTCAATGGGCCGGTTGCTCCAACAGCCGTCTCTTGTAGGGCTATACCAGCACTCATTCTTTGTGGGTACTGCAGCTGTGCCAGAACGGAGGATAAAAGGTGCCTCCTCCCCCCAGCATCAAAGATGCATGCGTTAGTTTTGTTACCAATAAGAACATGTCAGTGATTCTAAATAATCTTGAGTGCAACACTTCTGATTTATGCCCTAGATCCAGAAAACCACGGAACTGACGTGCAAACTAGTAACACAGCCAAACTAACACTAGCTGGGTGGATGCAGCAGTCGTTTGGATTCGTAGTTATACTTACTGTTGCCCAGGTTGGAACAAGATCACATTTGTTAAGAACAAAAATGAGGTGTTTCCAAGGTTTTTCCTTTTTCAGATAAGTCTCAATGTGAGGGGAACGGGTACCCATAGGATCTCTGGCATCAAGAACTTGGACAACAACATCTGATGAATCTATTACCTGTAAATTCAAAGCAGTAAAGACTGTTTGTCAGAGAAGAAATGAAAATTAAAGAGAGATGACATTTAAGGGGACCTGGGAAAAATATGCAGAGGGTACTTCAGACAAGTTTTCTGTGGTATTAAAGGCTTACTGTTCAAAATGGCTTCCCTATCAAGTAACTTATTTTGCCATGTAGATGGGTGGCAATATATGAATAAGATGTGTTAGTCTTGCCGTTAAATCCAGTGGATCCAGTAGCAGAACTGGAGAATCTTACCATCAGCAAAGGAGAAGGCGGCATGCAGTGGGTGCCCTTCAGGACCAGATTCTTGTGCCAGCTAGACTTATAGAGCAGTAGCCAAAGGAGAGGACCAGCAACCCAACTTTGGGATTGCTCCCTTCCACAGAACCAGAGCTAACTAAGGGCCTTTCTTAAGTTTACTGGAGAACTGGGGGTGAGGGTGGGGAGAGCAATAACTGGAAGGATTCAGAGCTATATATCAACCTAATGCCCTTAGCCTCACCTCAGGGGCACCTGGGAGCATATTTTGGAAGCTGCCCTGACTGTATTCCGCTACTAACCTGGATTAGAACCTTTTGAATTCCCCAATATGGTTCTGTGTGGTTTGTGAGCTATCACATCAGATTTTGGACCCAATAAACAGTCAGACTGGTAGTGGGATAAGCAGAAAGAGGTGCAGAAGAGTGGGGGACATGTCTGACCTCATGAGAATTGGTTCTGTGTTGCTGATGTTGTTTCTGGGAACAGTTCCCCTTTGTGAAGCTGGTAAAGTACAGATACGGCCATTCTCACGTGGCTCTTGCTCTTTCTACATTTTCTGAGGAGAACAGGTTGTAGCCAATCTCCAGGATCATTAACCTTTGAGCATTAGCTACGTGAAAAACTCTTTTTTCATGACTGCTTTGCATTACTGTGGTTTGAGTTAAAGTTTACATAGTGTAAGGTTTTTTCAATCATTCATGCATATTTTGTTCCATGTTATGTATTACTGAACAAACTAATCTACTTTTAAACATCTGAAGAGTTTCTATTTTATTAGTTTTACAGATAATGAATTTCATTTACCTTCATGGAACCTGTTTTCTTTATTATGTAACTGTTTTATTTATAACTTACTTAAATGCCTTTGATCTCAAGAATATTACCATTAGGGGAACATAACATGTAGCTAGTAAAAGAACACTGGATCAAAAAAGCCTCTTCCACTACCAAGCTGAGGGAACTTGGTAAGATATTCAACCTCTCTAGACAGATTTTCTCATCTATTAAATGAGAGAGCTGGACTTAATTAACAAAAAGGTCTCATGTGGTTTTAACCATGTATACATGTAAATAGGACTATTCTGTTTTAGTAGGTAATCTAAAGAAACATCAACAAGGAATAAATCAATGCATAAAACATTGTTGCACAGATAGTTTTGGAATGTAGTGACCAAGTACATTAGTTGTATGCACAGGACTGCATTAACCCTGGTTTCTTTTTAGGGAAGCAAGGAGGGAATGGACAGGGCAGTCTGTACTTTACTGGAAAGAGATTCAGTAAACCAAAATTAGTTTCCTCACAGAAGATCCTGAAAGCCAAAGAAATCACTGAATGAGAGTAAATTAAGAGTCTCACCTTGTAGAGTTCACCCCATATTCTTTTGGATTGTCCTTTTTTATATATTTCTTCTTGGGCTTCATTTCTATAAAAGAAAAGCAGCCAAAATGAATAATTAAGATATTGTAAAGAAAATTGCTTGTTTTGTAAGATTCATGTTAGTCTCAGGTAACATGTTCCCTAATTTATGTACTATTTTCTTTACTTAAAAATATGCTTTGTATTAAAAAGTTGGAGATAGATGGTGAATATATGAAGTGAGTCTTCATGAGTTACAGTCTGTCTTTACAACAAATATGTAAATATATAAATAAAAAGAGTAAATAAATACCAAAAGTAAATCAAAACAGGATGGTTCACATTTAAGGTCAGCTAGTCATGTTTCTTCATATACAGTATTCAGTGTACCTTTCTATGCATAAAAACACTAAAGAAATAAACACTTCCAGATACACAAAAATATCTTTAAGAAAATAATAGTAATGATGATGACGTTTTGATGCATGTTGCCAAACAGCATCTGTTTATTATTATGAGTCATTATATGGACATAGAATTTTTTCTATAATAGGTTTTAACACTGGATTATAACTATGGAGTACATGATTATAGAAAGAGGACATTTGGACTCAGGGAATGCCTGTATACTTCTACTTTAGCAAAGAATACTTATTTTTACTTTAGGGAGGAAAAGAGTTGTAAAAGGCCTACTATCAAAACAAATGGCAAGGGAGTTCTGGTGGCCTTGTGGCAAGACAGTGTGCTGCAGTACCAAAGGAATGTGGTTCGAATCCACTAGCTGCTTCAAAGGAGAAAGATGGGGAATCTCTTAGGTTTACTGCCTCTGTAACTGGAGAGCACTGGAGGGCACAGATATGGGTTGGTCCTGCCTCGAGGGAAAAACAACAAAACAAATCAGGCCTAATGTTACCAGTCTAAAAAGGATAAACATCCATGACTTAAGTCACTAACCGTCAGTGTTGGCAAAACAAGTTTACAGAAAACTGTGATAAGAGCAAATGCTGAGTTCTGCATGAACTCTGAAGTTGTACCTTACGCCAGTGTCCACAGTCACCAGGTCCCGATCCTTGCCCTGATCATAGCTCTCAGTGGACGTCTCAGCTTTTTCCAGCAGAGAATGCACATCACTCGCAACTAAATTCGGTCACTTCCTCTGTGCTTTAGGGCCAAATGTCGTTTCAAAACTTTCAGTATCAAGAATGTGCACTTTTGAATTATGAGGCTGGATTCGATCATGGAGAAGAGACATTGGTAACTTGAAGCAAAGGAAAGCACGCTGGGAAGAAGCCAAGCAGTCAAAACCTACCTGGGAAAGGTTCTCAGCTTCCCTCTCCCCCCAAATTCAACCCACATCAAAATCATAAAAAGCACACTCAGCCTAGTTTCCAATCAGAAATGCTTGTTTAAATATCGTTAAGCACTTGTTCCCCTATTCTGAAGTTCTCCAAGCTTCCTAGGAGAAATACAAAAGTAACACAGATAATCAAAGCAAATATGAATAGCTGTGTACATACAACTGGCCAAAAAACCTGCATTATTTCATTTATCGCAAACTGTAGTCAAATGTAATTATGGCTACAATGATGAAAATTAACTTATCTTTTCCGATCACTTTTTTGAGCTCTCAAACAAGGGCATAAAATTCGCCAAATTCACAGATTTTTGTCAAGGACAATCATACTCAAATCTGTGGTGGTTTTTTTTTAAACCAAGTGTAAATGCCAACTTTTTCTTGGAAGTTAATTTCTTTCATGGCTAAAAGGAATTGCTTGTTTTGTAAGATGCATTTTAGTTTCAGATAACATTTTCCCTAATTTAGGTAACGTTTTTATTAAATGCACATGGAAAGTCTTCGGATGAAAAACATCTAGCAAAAGTCCAAAATAATAGTTTAGATGTGATAAAAGGAACCTGATACTAACTCGAACTTGATGTGCCTGTAAAGGAGTTACAGGCAGAGGAATTTTTGAAGCAGGATAAAAGTCAAAGTTTGTGTTAGGCTCTATCATGTTAACAGCTGGCAAAGACGAGCCTCAAAAAAAAGCATTCTCAGCCCCTTAGTACAAGCTCCTTTGTGAGGGAGCAACAAGCTTCTAAACACAGGATGACGGCGCTCCTGCGGGGCTTCTGAACTCAACAGATTTCCCTTCTGGCTTCTCAAGATCCTACAGTAATTATCGCTTCCTTGGATTTTCTACCTCTTCTGATTTGGGTCACTTGCTACCCACGCCACCATGAGACTGCCATCAAATAAAAGCTTCACATTTTACATGGGAATTGGGTTCTACTGTCACCAGGTAAAAACAAGCATGATCAAAATGACTTCTAAGATACATGCACGTTTGGTATATAATAATCCTGGACATGTTTATGTAAAATATAGTAATGCATATTCTAGAACACACTTGTAATGGACATGAGTTTGGCTAGGGCACAAGTCAAAAGTATGTCTGATTTGACAGCTCTGTGCAGTACCATCTCACAAAGAATTTTATAACAAGTGGTGGGTATCACCCTACAATAAAATACATAATGTTTTTCAAGGCCAAAACAGAAAACAAATCACTCTGAATACTTTTTACATTAAAACACAAGGTGAGCATTGCACTGCAGATCTTGCATTTGACAGCAGGGATCTAAGCAATGATTTTAGAAATGAAGAATAACTTGAAGGGGCAACAAAGTAATAAATCTGTAATAGAACCTCTCTGTTCTTCCCATAAACAGGATTCAATAGTTTGTTAAAGGATGGCTTTAGGGAGAACAAAGAGAACAAGGGAAATGAGCAACTTGTCTGTGGTTCATGAATTACACTCATGTGTTTCCCTGAAAGAAAACAGCCATTCCACTAATAGGTGCCATTCTTCTAGTCCATCATAAAACAAAGCATAATTGACAAAACCTGAGGCAATAACCAGACCTTGGTTTTTATTTTGTTCTACAAGTAAACACTTTTCTTTGAACTGTTTAATCCTTGTATGCATGTCAATGTTTTCTTCCCCTCCTTATACTGGAACTGAAGCTTATGTCCTCGCTACATTTCTGGGAATTATTATTCAATGCAAGTAAAATTGTGCAGGCAAACATTAAACCATCTATTTGATCCTGTATCAACCTCATTCCATTCAAATCAGATTAATTCTTACTCTACATCAGACCCCAGCAATCCACACCTAGTTTGACTAGCATTCTTTACTTTAAGCTGAAAAGAATCTCTAAGGATCTCATCGAAGCGGAAAGTATGCAGCGTCCAAGGTCTCCCAATCTTAATTCTACACTTCTCCCAAATTTGGTATTACCACTTAATCAAACAAGCTTGCCTACCAAGAAACTGGTGTAGCTGTGGTGCCAAAGTGTTTCAAACGCACGGCTGCCATTTGAAAGACCAGCAGTTTGAACTCACAAGCTGTTCCATGGGAAGAGTATGTGGCAGTTTGTTTCTGTAAAGATTTAGAACCTTGGAAACCCTTTGAGGCAGAACAGATTAGAAAGCTGCAGGCTTGGCTGTCCAGTGGTTAGGCATTTGGCCAAGTGAAAGGTTGGTGGTTTGAATCTAATCAGCTGCTCTGAGGAAGAAAGATCTGGTAATTCTCTCCAATAAAGATATAACCGATAAGATCTTATGGGGTAGTTCTCCTGTCATATGGGCTCTCTAGGAGCTGAAAATGGGCCAGATGGTATAAAACAACATTATCTATTTGGTCCTTGGTGATGAGAACATTTTGCAACACCGAATTAAAAGTCTTGACTCATGATGTGCTTTGAGAAAGATCCCACCAAAAACAAGCCCCTGCAGAGCTCGGTTCTACCCAGTGATAGAGTGTTGCCAAGACTTGAACTGACTCCATTCAATGGAGTTTTGTTGTTGTTGTTACTGACCCAACTCCAACTGTGGGGTACGCTATGTGCTCACTTCATGTCAACTACCTCAGACATTTAATCCATGCTGAATCACCCAATGAGGTGGCTGACTTTCACATTACAGTCAGGAAAATGAAAGCTCAGAGAAACTTAACTAAAGCTACAGGGAGGGAGAGGCAAGGATTAAAATTAAGGTCTGACTCTAATGACTGCACATTTATCTATGATGCTACCACACCTCCCAGAAGGTGAAAACCCACACTGAAGCAGAGACCCCTAATGAAAGTTCAAAAGAGTCGTCTCAAAAAATTCTGCACAATTGCAGTAAGGCCATTACTGTCTAAGACAAACGTGTTGGGGGGGGGGGGGGGGTAGGGGGTGGTTTACGTGGTGTCTGACCAAGAAAGCCCATCACCAGGGGTATCCTACAGCTTACATGAGGCTGGATTCGATCATGGAGAAGAGACATTGGTAACTTGCTTTGCTTCATGACAACTTTGTATGGATCCTTCATAACTGTATCCATTTCCTCTTGAAACTTTTGTAATGATGACTGCTTAATCACACGTGTGTTTCCTGTTTTATAAATAAAGAATGCTGCCATTTAATAAAGAACTCATTTTTTACTTTTGCATCCATGTTTATAACCACACAGTAAAAGCAGACTTTTTTTTTTCTTTTTCAGACTTTTAATTGCTCTCACTCCCCAAACTCCTGATACATCCATCCCTCATAGATGTTTTCAAACTTCAAAGGGGGAGGGGGGGGCGTGCACGAGAAACCCAACCAACAGAAAACTGCCTCTCCTGCACTCATACAGTAGGAACTAATCCACCATCCAGACACACAAAAGGTTTCAGTAGTTTTCCAAGCCCAATTTCCTGACTGGATGGAACTGAACAGTAACATCTCTGAATAGAACTGTGATTTGACAAATGTTCTACTTCCTGCTAGATCTGGCACAGAAATTTGGAGCCAATCATTACTGATCAGTTGCAGGGAGAGAGAATTCCAAAACTCCGCTACACAGTCATAGTTATTTTCAAGGTTAAGAAGGTCTGAAGGGACTAATCAATTAAAAGACTCATACAAGAGAACAAAATAAAGCCTTTATAACACTACCTAGAGAATATAATTCATTTGACATCCCGAAGAATGATTACATCACACTCACTATTTACTATTCTAAGCAAGGGAGTTCTGGTGGCCTAATGGCACAGGACAGACAGGGTTCAGATCTGTTGTTCACAGGGTCACTATGAGTCAGAGTTGACTTGATGGCACCTATCGATAACAATAGGTAAGAAGTTGCACTGTCAACCCAAAGGCATGTGGTTCAAATCCACCAGCTGCTCTGCAGGAGAAAGACTGAGCACTCTCTTCCTATGTCTTACAGAGTCTGAAACTTGCTGGAGGGTCAGCTGTAATTCGGTCAGGGTTAGAACCTGACAATGAACAACAGACTCCGCAATGGGGAGCTCTGATGTCCTAGTCTATACAGCTACACTGCTCATTTAAAAGGCTGTGCTTCTCATCAGCTGCTCCTCAGAAGACAGAAGCGCAGTCTCCTTCCATATAAATGCCAGCCTTGGAAACATGATCAAGGGTCAGCTATGAATTGGGTCTGACTCAAAGGCAATGAGCAAAAGAGGAAGATTTTAAGCCCTAGGGAGCTCTGATGGCATAGCCCACAGGGAGCTGTGCTGCTAACTCAAAGGCTCAGCTTCAACGGTTCAAATGCATCAGCTGTCCTTAGGGGGAAAACAGGAAATCTCCTTTCGTGCAATTTACAGCCTCAGAAACCCAATGGAGGGTCAGTCATATGTCTAATCTGACTTGATAGCAATGAGAGAGAGATTTGAAGTACTGTCCATGCATTAACTCATTTAGTTGCTGCAGCAACCATGTGAGACAAGTACTATTTTAACCCTCATTTAGAGATATGGACAGATTTTCAATAACTTGCCCGTGGTCACACAGATGACAGGACCAGGATTTAAATCTAGGCAGTCTGGATCTCAAGTCATCACTTTGTGCTACCCTGCAAAATACTTCTTTAAGGAATTTTCTTTGGCTTTTTTCTGTGTTGCAATATACTAGAAGGCATCACATCCATGAAAAGATAGACAAGATACTCAAAGAGAGTCTCTATCAGTCAGTAGGCAGAAAGGCCAGTACCAACCAACAATGAGGTCTGGTTTTTGAAAAGCCCTATGTAGAGACGGCTAAGGAAGGTCAAATGTCCCAGATTCTGTACACTCTACTCACTTGTAAGAAAGAAAACACTGTATTCAAACACAACTGCATTAAGAAAACCGTTTCAGAGGAATTTTAGGCTAATTAACCTGGTCTCCTGGGAAATGGCAAAACCCCACCTGCGATGTTACCTTTCAAACAGCAAGATCTCCAGGCAACCAGAAATAGACACAAGAGTCTCAGGGTCTGTTCCTGCCAGCCCTTAAGGATAATCTCCTCTGGCTAAAAGGGTTGACAGATGACTGATGAGCTCATTAAAAAAAAGCTATCTATGAAGTCTATCACAACTACTCTTCTCATTCGTTTCTCATGTAATCCTTGCCAGTTTCACTTAGCAAAAACTTCCCTGAAAACCCCAAATCAAACCAAAACCTCTGTTCTTTCAAGCATCTGAGCACTTTATGCTTTTGACACGGCACACATTTTGCAGAGCAAAAATAACAGAGTAATACTCACCAAACCACTTGATATTCGGCTCCACTCTTGCCACTGTGCCAGAAGCCACTGTTGACTGGTATTGCAGTGGCTTAATCACTTTACCACGATTGTTCCTAAATTGAGGAAATAACAGATTTTGGTTGACAACAGAAGAAAGGCAATAGCAAAGTTTGGTTTACAGCATACCCTTTCCATCAAAAGGACCTTTTCTTTTTTTTTTATTTTGAATGATCATGAAATACAGACTTCAGTAAACAAAACATACTTCGACATTTGAAACAGATTGCCCAAAAGCTACTTAACTTCTTGCAACAGAGCACATAATGATTTCTGCTAGATGAATAACAACTAATGCTGATGTTTAAAAAAATCTGTTTACTGTTTGTTTGCTTTCTTAAAAAAATACTTGAGTTTTTTTGGTAATTATTGGAAAGCTGGTTTAAATAAATTTCAAGTAGAGGGTAATTTATGCTGGAATTAGGAATTCTAAAACAAACTGCAAAGTAGGTGACTAAGGGAGAGCAAGTTCACTGAAGCTTGTGTTTTAAACGCATCTTTTAGAATGGATGAAGAATCTAATTACCAAACAAATTAAGACCAGCTAATAAAATGCCACACTCAGCAAGTTCCTGTGGTAGAGTCTGCCTCAGCAGAACCCAGAGATGCGATACATTTCCATGTGCTAGAATGCTCTGGTCTAAAGTATGGCATTAAAAGAATAAGTCTGCTGACGGCTTTCATAACAACAGGTTCATATTCTTTGTTAAAGTAAACTACATTTCTCTGAAGGCTGTCTCACTCAGATTGCGCCATCAGTGCAGGCTGAGGCTGTGACAATGAGAACTCTAATTGGTGTGGAGTATTTCAACATGACCACTGGCTACTACTCATGGCTTTAATAGAAAATTAAGTTTACAATAACAACATGCATAGAATATATGCACATAATATATATTTGAAAACAAAATACTATTGCTTGGGAAAAACAGGGATGGGAATGTCAAATGTTTCAGTTTCAGCTATAAATGAAAGGCATGAAGAAAAGATGGGTTTGCCCAGTGCTCACCTGCGTTCCTTCTGCCTGTACATATTCAGGCGCCGGATTGTGGCCCTGTCCCTCATGTTTTGGCCTCCTGCTCCCTGCACTCGGTCTAGGAGAGGCAGAAATATACAACATACTATTTAACAACCAGAAATTTTAATTATGGTCATTGCTACAAATGTACTAACCAGTTTACCCTAACTAAGCAAGTGGATACCTTCCAACAAAATCTATACTTCCTGCATATTTTGTGCCAATAAAACTAGTATTTGAAACCAAGTGGTTAAGGAAGGCTGTCTTAATCTTTGATATTTAATAAGATTATGTTTGATAATGCTAAGAGCTAATTTTTTAAAATATTAATGATGGCAACAGAGAGCTCTGGTGGTTGGTTCAGTGGTGACGAGCTGCGCTGTTCAAAGCAAGCCGTTCAAATCCACTGGCTGCTCTGTAGAAGGATGGCAATCTTCTCCCATGTGATTTACAGCCCCTGAAAACCTGCTGGAGGGTCAGGTATGAGTCAGCTCCAACTCAATGGCAACCAACAACAACACATTTAATATTACCCACATTTCAGAAACTTGGTCTCACTTAATCCACATAATGCTTATAAAAATGTATTATTCTAATCCTTCTGGTGTCTGGTGCGGTAAGAAGTTGTGCTGCCAACTCAAAGACCCCTGGTTTGAATCCACCAGCTGCTCCACAGGGGCAAAACAGACAATCTCCTCTTGTGCAATTTGTTGTTGTTATGTACCATCGAGTCAGAACCAACCCACAGCTGATTCTCAAGTGGCTTTTCAGAGGCAGTTAGTCACACAGGAGGGGAATGCACATCCTTTCCCCACCATTTACAGCCCCTGAAAACCTACTGGAGGGTTAGCTATGAGTAGGTTCCAATTTGACAGTACATAGCAACAACATTTAGATAACTTGCCTAATGTCACAAATCAACTAAGTGGCACAGTTTAAATTTAAGCCCAACCAATATCCGTGCCATTAACCATATAACTGTGTCTCAGTTTACCAAACACTTATGGCCTAATATATGCAAGGAAGCATGTAGACTACAAATCTGATGGAATAGAAACCATTAATTCGTTTAACCAGTTCTAAGATAGTAATTCTTGCCTTACATTTCATAAAGAGAAAAATGAAATAAAAATCCACTGCCATTGTGTTGGTTCCACCTCACAGTGATGCTACAGGACAAAGAACCGCCCATATGCAACACTTTCCCCCATTTTAAGAATTGAGATTTTAATGAAGGTTTATAGAGAACTTGGATTTCCATTATCACACATTATCCTCCCCGCCCCCCACCCCCCACCAGTTTGCTTTTCTCTATGAAAAAAAATTCTTTCACTGTTGTACAATTAAAGCTGTAAATCTTAATGGAAGCAAACTACTTCATCTTTCTAGTGAACCTGAACTACTGACCTTTGGGAAGCGTGCCTTACACACCACCACACTAAAGATCCTTAGGAAGAGAAAGGGCTAATAAACAAGGTGGTACTAGTCTAGTTTTTTATTTTGGGAGCCCTTCAAATCTACTCCTCTGCTCCTGAAGTGGTGTAGTTAAGCAAGCTGAGAAGACAGGAAGATGAGCGGCTCTCCAACTCACCAACTATGTCAACTGGAATAAGACACTTCCCCTACTTCAGCTCAGTCTTCTCATCTAATAAATTACAATCTCTAAGAGCCTTTCAAAGGGTGCTCTGGTGGCTTAGTGGCAAGGAACGGCACTGCCAACCCAAACATAGGTGGTTTGGATCCACCATCTGCTCCACAGGAGAAGGATAAGCAGTGCGATTTACTGCCTCCGAAAACCGCCTCTGGAGGGTCAACTGAGGGTTGACTGGATGGTACAATAAAGAGATTTTTAAAAGGAGTCCTTGGGTGGCATAAATGGTTAAGCATTCAACTACCTTCACATAAGCCAGCTGTTTGAATCTACTCAAGTACCCAAAAAAAGTCAGGCCTGGCAACTATAGAGCAGTTCTACTGAGTTCACATGAGATGGCTCAGACTTGGAATCAACCTGGAGAGTAACTAACAAGGTCTCAAAGTTTAATATTCCAGGATTTCTGAATACAAAAAGAAGACTCATTTGTCAAGAGAGAACAGTTAACATGCATTAAATTCGTCAAAAATATTTAAGCTTTATTGAGAAAATCCAAATGGAAGGGTCTTCCCCTAAGAGTCACCTTGTTCATACTCTAAGTGGAACTTCACCAGAACGGTGACACTCATGCCCCAAACATCTTTATTGAAATGATCATGGTTCTGCGGTGTCCTATGCAGTTTACCATGCACTGGATGGTTCAAAGGGCCAAACTCAGTCACTTTCTTATTTAAGTGATTCAAACTAAGGTTATGGGTAAGGTATTGAGTGCAAAAGACCTACTGTTCCAGAACTGACATTATCGAATTCATGTAGCATATTTCTCGAGCGTGAAAAATCTAAGACGGTAATCTCCCAGGGTTGACAGGAGTAAGGGGTTTCAACATCTGATCTAACAGAGCAACACAAGAACGGGCAAGTTTAGCTGACCCTTTCAACTCAGAACAGTGCAATCTTTGGCCGTTTTAACTTACGAGGCCCCTCAACTGCAAGGCCTCGGAGGTTAATTCGTCTTTAGACCAGGTCTGGACCCTGCAGGCAAGCTGTCAGCCTTTCTCTGGGTGAAGAAATCACCCCACCTGCTGCCTTCCTTTTCCTTTCTCATCTCCAAAAGCCATTGGGCTATAGGGTTCCTCCAAACCACGCCAACAGGTTCCCCTCGGTGTCCTCAGATCCCCCCCTCAAGGCTTCCTTCAAAGCTCCACCCTCGACCAGTCCCGCCGCAAGTACCAGGGTTCGTGCTGGCGTTGGAAGGGTTGATGGTGCTCCGTCCTTTGTACTTGGGCTTCACCATCTTGCCGGTGGACGCTGGGCCTGAGCCTGGTCTGAGAGTTGGGTCGGGCTTACGTAGGGTAGACAAGATCGGAACTTCCGAAGTCCAGAAGAACAGACCCGCATGAACCACGCTCGACCACGTGTGCCAGGGACGCGTCACTTCCGCCTGCACCACCTCTTTCCCCGCGATATCCTGCAAACGCCCCGCCTCCGTCCCGCCCCGCCCCTGCCCCTCTTCCTGCGTAGCAACCGCCAAGCGGGCCCTCCATAGCAACCCCCTAGTTACCAGGACGCTGAGTTACAGGCGCTGAGCTCCGGGTTGGGTCCGCCTCCAAACAGGAAAGCTTCTTCCCAGGTCAATGACAGAAGTGCACGCTTAATTATCTTCGGAATTCGTCCCATAAGCCCTTCCAAATGAGACGACCACACAGCTGCTAAATAGCAGTGAGATTGTGTCACCTTTCTACTTAAAAACTTCCAAAAGTTTATCATCACCAGTACCGGAATTTAAAAAAAAAAAAAAAGAAGGAAAAAGAGGAAGAGGAAAGAATGGAAGAAGACAGGAAGGAATGACAAAAATGAACTACCATTCCTGCAGGACTTTGTATGATCAGAGCTACTTATTTTCTAATCTCATGTGGCTGTCTCTGGCTTTTTCTGACATTTACAGTTGATGTTTTTCCTTTCTTACTCTTTCCTTGAATTTTTGCACATCTAGTTGCTCTGGCCATTCAGTTCTCATCTACCAGTAAGGTTGAGTTAAGAGATTTGGCAAATAAAGATGTTAAACAACCAGTTACATTTAGATTTCAGATAAGCAGCATTTTTTGTTTAGTAAGTCTTCAGTATACTAAAATATTTGTTGTGTATGAAATTCAAATTTTACTGGGATGGCAACCGTTGCTGGCAAAGTCTATAACGTCTAATGTTTAATCAGCCTCCCCTCCCCTCCCATCCTTCAGCAGATTTTCTTCTGCATTGTTCTTTTTCACTGACCACTAAGTTTCTTTTATTTGCAAGGGTTTGTAGGGTTTTTTTTTGTTTTTGTGGGGGTTTTTGTGTTTGGTTGGGTTTTTTTGGTTTTTGTTTTTAAGATTACTTCCCTTAAATTAGGGAACTCGAGTGGCTTAGTGGTAAGGAGTTGCACTGCCAACCCAAAGGCATGTGGTTCTAATCCTCCAGCAGCTCCACAGGAGAAAGATGGGCAATCTCTTCCCTTGGGATTTACTGCCACTGAAAACCTGCTGGAGAATTAGCTATAAGTCAGTTTTGACCCAGTGGTACACAACAACTAAATTAGAATATGCTCTTTTTTTGGAGAGAAGGATCTTATAAACCTGCTCATCAAGCTGTGTCCTCAAATCTTGAAAAAGTAAACTCTCAATTCATTGCCTGGTCAGCTGACCTTTCATTGGGTTTCTCAGGCTGTAAATCACAAGGGGGCAGATTGCCCATCTTTCTTCCTTGGAGTTACTGGTGGATTTAAACTGCCAACTTTTAATCCTTTGAGTTAGCGTCACAACTCCCTATGGAGATCCCTTGAAACATAGTAGAGTCAATAAATATTGTTGGAACAAAGAAATGAATAGATGGAACTGCCTCTTGCCCTCAGGGAGAATGAGGACAGTAAAGCCAGGGGTTTCTGTTTCAGCTAGCTCAAAGTCTCTAGATGCCAGTGTTTCAACTAAGAAGCCCTGCCTTGTTTGGGGGTACCTCAAGTTGTCAAGAGATAGACAATACTGTGGTCTCAGGGTAGGCCAAAGAGGAGAAGGGTAAGCAGGAGGAAGGGTGGAGCCAGGCCTGTGATGCAGCTCATTCCTTAAAAATAAACAATTTGTTATAAAGTGAGGTATTCTAATTGAGAAAGGGATGACTGAGTCTTTATTTCTCTGAGTCTGAAACAAACAAACAAATCCAAAAACATTCTTTCTAGAGCAAAACCAGGCCATGTCCTGGACATGAGCTGGAAATACCTTGTCTGCCTTGTGCCTCACTTTCAGTACCCTAGGGCTAAGATCACAGGATTAAGCATAACTTTGCTAGGAAGTCCCTGGCCCTGACTTGATGTCCTAGGGAATATCCACGGGGGGTTGGAAACAACTTTATGCTCAGTGAAGGTCCAAAGATGCTGCCTTTGGCCTTACATTGTCACTTTGATTCCCCCCAACAAGGGCATAATAGCACACTCCCAGAGAGACTGTTGTTGCTGTTCAGAGAGAATAGAATGTTTGGTGCCGTCAGAAAGAATAGGTTAATGTATTTCTGATGCCTCAACTTGGTGCAAACCAGAATAAACACAAATGGTAAAAATCAGTCCATGAGCTCATTCGGGCTTTGATCAGAGACATAATTTCATTATGAAATTTTGAATCAGGCTGTTGTGAAGTCTTGCCAAGGAGTTTCATTTTCCCAGATGATATGGTGGGTTGTTTCTCTCCTGTTCTCATACTCTGCTTGCATTTATCATACAAATGTCTCATCTATTTTTATAATCAGAGCCATCAATTCTTTTATTTCATGGTCTTGGTAACCAACTTCATTTCTACCAACAAATAAGCCTGATCAAGGTGGTATTGCAGTTAGGTGCTGTTGAATCAATTCCAACTCCTAGCAACCCTATGTATAACAGCTAAACACATTGTCTGGTCCTGAAACATCCTCATGATTGTTACTGCTTGAACCCAATGTGGCAGCCTGTTGAGGGCTGTCCTCTTTTTTTTTATGACCTTCTGTTTTACTAAGTATGATAAATTTTCCAGGGACTGGTTTCTAATGATAAATGTGTCCAAAGTCTCACTATTCTCATGTTTAAGGAGAAATACAGATGTATTTCCAGTAAAAATTTATGGTGGTTATTTTGTCATTCTTCTGCAAGTCCATAGTCTGTTCAATATTCTTTGTCAACACCATAATTACAAAGTATCAATTTTTCTTCAGTCTTCCTTATTCTGTCCCAACTTTCACATGCATATGAACTGATTGAAAATACCATGGCTTGGGTCAGGGAGCCCTTAAGTCCTCAAAGTGACATCTTTGCTTTATAACATCTTAAAGAAGAAGTCTTTTGCAATTTGTTTGACCAGTATAATATATGGTTTGACTTCTCGCTGACTGCATCCATTGGTGCAGCTTGTGGACCCAAGTAAAATTAATTTCTAGTCAAGATAGATCAAGTTAAGACTATTGCCTAGGCTTGCTGGCTGGCCCCGCTTATTAAATTGTAGCACAGTGACTATTTTTTAACTCCTTCCTGATACCTTGGTGAACAGAGGAGGCAAAGCACCCACTCTGGGTCTACTATTCCTCAGATTTAAAATAGATATGCTAATCTAACAAACTCCCCTTGACAAATTGCAGTAGTAATCACATGAATGATGATCTCTGAAAGGATTGTGAACCTGATATACGCCATGTATTGTTGTTATTAGGTGGCGAGTCTGAACCCTGTCTTATCTTGTGCCATCCTCACAGTCTCTGATATATTTGAGCCCATTGTTGCAGTCACTGTGTCAATCCATCTTGCTGAGGATTTTCCTCTCTTTGCCTGACTCTCCACCTTTCCAAGCATGATATCCTGCAAGGAATAGCCTCTGCTAACAGCATGCCCAAAGTATAGGAGAGAAAGCATTATAATCTTTGCCTCTAAGGAGTACCTTCTTCAAAACATACCTGATTGTTCACGGGATATTCAGTTCTCTTCTCCAACACCACCATTCATATGGCATCAATTCTTATTCTGTCATCCGTACCCACTGTCCAGCTCTTAGATGCATAGCAAATAATTGAAAAGATCTTTGCCTAAATCAGACATGCCTTAGTCCTCAAATGGATATCTTTGCTCCTCAATAATTTGGAGAAGTCCCTAACTACAGACTTTTCCAGTGCAATTGTTGTTGTTATTGTGGTGTTTTGTTGGTTTTTTTTTTTTTAGTCAGAACAGACCCATAGCAGACTCTCCAGCAGGTTTTCAGTGGCAGTTAATTGCAAGGGAATATTGCCCATCCTTCTCCTGGGGAAGCAGCTTGTGGATTCAAATCATGTATTTTCAGGATTGCAGCACACACACCTCTTTACCACCAGGTCACCATTGCTCCTGGTACAATATGTCTTTTGATCTCCTGACTGTTGGTACGACGTGTACGGATTGTAGATCTAAATAGATTGTGGATACACCATTTAGGTGGGATTAAAACTCATTCTCATTCCCTGAAATTCTGCTTCTAGTAACTGTGAGCTTGTAGGAACTCAAAGACAGTCCCCTCCCAACAGAAACACATGGGAAAGACCACCTTTCTGAAACATCTTTGAGGTATCTTTGTACGCTAAAGCCTTGATGGTTGCCTTCTAGGTAAATAAGGAATTCTGATCTTGCTTCCTTTATTCTGTAGAAACGATGTCATTGAAATCTAATGGGCAAGCAGTAGAAACTGTCTTTGGGGTCTAATGGTGAAGCAGCAGCAAAACAGCATTTTTCAGTAGTCTGAGGACCATGGGAAAGTCTCCTGTTAGGGACCTCTCCAGGGTACCGAAGAGCAATGGTGTCCCTCTGGAGACTAAGGTGCATCTGATACAGGCTATGGTCTTTGCAATCACTTGTTATGCATCAGAGAGTTGGACAATGACTAGGGAGGATAGAAGGAGAATTGATGCCTTTGAGCTGTGGTGCTGGAGAAGAGTATTGAATGTACCATGGACTGCCAAGAAAACAAACAGATTCATCCTGGAAAGGCTTAAACCAGACTGCTCCTTGGAGGCAAGGATTCTGGGGCTTCGTCTGACATACTTTGGACATGTTGTAAGAAGGGACAGGTTCTTGGAGAGGGACATCATGCTTGGGAAGGTGGAGGGGAAGACCCTCTATGAGGTGGATTGATTCAGTGACTGGGGTAATCGGGATGTGTGTGTCAGAGACGGTGTGATTGGCACAGAATAGAGCAGGGTTTAGGGCTGTTGTACATGGGGTTGCTATGAGTCGCAAGCAACTCGATGGCACTTAACAACAACAACAGTCTGAGGACCACACCAGCATTAGTCACCTGCAGAGCATTAAAAATGCAGACTTCTGGTCTGCACCTCTCTGGGAGGGAGATTCAGAGAAGTTACAATATAGCTAGCTCTCCCAGCTGATTTCTATACCCACACAATTTAAGGTTTTCTGGAAAACAAAGTCTTTTCCAGAAGTCATCCTTAGACTGGTTGACCAATGATGCAGAAGGCAGCCTGGGAAGGTCAAGCTGTTTTCCCACCTATTGTAAATCCTCTCTTGTTCTCTCAGCAGAGCTGGAGAGAAGAAAGCAGCAAGAGTATCTAATGCCCACTGAAAATATATGTCTTGGCTGCGCCCCAAACGCCTTGATATTTATGCTGTAGCCAGAGGGTCTTTATCCTTTTGCAATGCTCCACTGTAAGACTATTAACTCTTAATTAGTGCCAGCTTGTTGGTTTATACTTCTCAGTTGAACTATGAGTAGAGATTCCTCTGTTCATTCCCTGAGTCTCTCTGGCAAAACCACATTTAATTGCCCTATGCTTGCTGGGGTTCTAGTCCCCAAGTAGGAGATTCTAGAACCCTAAGAGAGAAGAATTCAAAATAGGTTTTTATGATTATTGTTTTGAATTTTTGTTTTATTTTGTTTGTTGAAAGCATTAAAAGAAAATTGTTGGTTGTAAAACCTCAACTGCTTACAAGCAAGTGTAAGAAAGATGTTGTTCTGTTAAATAAATTAACTCATAACCTACCCAATTGCTATTGAGTTTACTCCAATTCATAGTGCCTCTCTGTTGCATTTCTGAGGCTGTAATCGTTAAGATAGGAGACAGTTTTTCCTTCTCTCATGGAGTGTCTGGTGGATTCAAACCTTAGGATTAGCAGACCAATATACTACATACTACATTACCAGGTCTCCTCTGTATAACGGTGTATATAACAGGATAAAGAGTTGCCCGCTCCTGTGCCATCTTCGGCTTGGAGTTCAAAATTGTGCTTGAGTTTCCTAGTTTCATTGGTCTTCTTCTGTATCAACCATGATGCCCCTTTCCTAGCCAATGATCTATGCTGATGACATGTCCAAAGTAAGGGAACCAAGTCTCATCATCCTCACGTCTGAGAAAGTCTGGTTATGTTTCTTTTCGTCTTCTTTTTTTTTTTACTTTTTAAAGTTAATTTTATTGAAAGTTTACAGACACTTAGGATTTCCATTTATTCACTGTTGCACTTTTCTTCCTGTCCACCCTCTCCCCCCAATTTGCTCTTCTCTTTGAAAAGTAAAAGAAAAATTATTTCATTGTTATACAGTCCCTCCCCCTAAGTCCACTCCATTGTGCACCCTTCATTCTGGACTCCTGTCATGACAATAATACCTAATCATATATCCCTTTTAAACAGTTCTCTCCCTCATATGTTTCAATGCAGTATACATTATTTATCCCCTCTTTCTCAGTCTCATTCAACCCCAATGTCAGTTCCGTTTTACAACAGTGGCCCTGTACAATATTTGTCCTTTTGTGACTGAGATATTTCACTCAGCATAATGGCCTTCAAGGTCATCCATTATGTATAATATTTCATGAGTCTTTGTTTTTAAGTGGTGTGTAGTATTCCATTGTGTGAATATACTGGAGCTTCTCTATACATTCCTTGTTGATGGGCATTTGGGTTGCTTCCAACTCTTTGCTATTGTGAACAAAGGTGCAATAAACATGGGTCTGCATGGTTGTATTTATCTAAGACTAATTTCTTTGTTTTTCAGGCAGCCCATGGCACATTGTATGTTTTTCACCAATACTCTGATTTTAAGGAATCAGTGTTCTTCTGTCTTCCTTTATCATTGTCTAGATTTCACATGCATATAAAGCAATTGAAAAGATGATGGCTTGGGTCAAGTACAACTAAGTCATCATAGTCACATCTTTGCTTTGTAAAACATTAAAGAGGGCTTTAATAGTAGATTTTCCCAATACCACATATCATTTGACTTTTTGAGTGCTATTTGCATGTTTTGTTGTTATGTGTTGTCAAGGTCACTTGCAACTTATTAGTGACCCTAGGCACTATAGTTCTGAACTCTGTCCTATCCTGAGCCAATCTCACTGTTTCTGACACACCTGTCCCTGTTACCCCAGTCACTGAATCAATCCATCTAATTCAGGATCTTCCTCTCCTGCATTGTCCCTCCACCTTTCTAAGTCTGATGTCCTTCTCTGAGACTGGTACCTCCTGGCAATAGGCCCAAAGCATGTGAGACAGAGCTTCAAAACCCTTGCCTCCAAAGAGAACAACATGTTTCACCTATTCCAGGATAGAACTGTTTGTTCTCTTGGCAGTTGATGGCATCTTCAATATTCTTCTTCAGTACCACAATTCAAAGGCATCAACTATTCCTCTGTCATCTTTATTCATGGCCCAGCTGTTGGAGCCATAGCAAATAATTGCGAAGATCATGGCCTGGACCAGGCACACCTTAGTCGCTAGACTGACATTTTTGCTCTTCAGCACTCTGGAGAGGGCCCTGACAGCAGACTTTCCTAATCCAATTCCTCCTCCTTTTTTTTTTAAGGGGGATTTTTTTCTTTACATTTATTTCATATTGGTTTCCAGTTCATCTTTTGATTTCCTGACTGCTGGTTCAAGAGCGTTGATTGTGGAGCCAAGCAAGCTGAAATTATTAATAATCTAAATCTCTTCTCCATCTATCATGGTGCTGCTGATTGAACTAGTGGTGAGAATCTTTGTTTTCTTGATGTTAAGCTTCAATCCATATTGAAGGCTGCAATCTTTAACGTTTTGCAACAGACACTTCATGTCCTCCTCAGTTCCAGCAAGCAAGGTGTGTCATCTGCATAACACAAGTTGTTGATGAGGCTCCATGAACTTGAGAAAAATGAAGTACATTAAATGGAAGTCTCATTGGTTAAATTATCCTCAGTCTTTGGTCTGGGATGTCTGTGTTTTTCCAGGTCACTGGGAAGCTTTGGGGCAAGGTTGTAGCAAGCTGGTGAGCTAGTTGGCTATCAAAAGTGGCTGAGAAGTTCACCTCTGGGAACCCAAATAAACTTCTCTTCATGGATGATGTATCTGGTCATCACTTCCAAGTGGGAAAAACATAGACTATATTAGTCTTGGCATTCATCTCACTGCTGGATAAGAAGCTCTTCAAAAAGATCTCTAGATTAAGTTTTGGAAAAATAACTAGCAGCATTTTGCTCCTTCCTATCACTGAATCCCCATGGTCCTCAGCATAGCCTGCGTAAGAAAACCTGAGAAGCAGTTTTATGAGATGCTATTAATGGCATCTAATTTTCAGCCTGGTTTAGATAACTCAAGGTTTCTGGCTGCATCCTGAGAAATAGATCCAGAACACACACTGATGTGGGAAGTTAAAGTATAATTCCAAATTGTAGATAATTGTTTAAGCTCCAAGGAGCTGGAGGGCCCATATTAAGTCATCTCCCCAGGATCGGTGTGTTTCCTATTATACTTGATATTTATCTGTCCAATGATCCTTTTGATTTTCAAGCTGTTAGTCTAAATCTTTGTGTAATTCTTTACCTCCTCATCCCTGCACTCCTCTCCCCTTTTCTTTAGGAAAATACTTGAAAAAAATGTTAACAAGGCCCCTTGGATTATTTCCAGAAGCAGAATGTCTCCTTGAAGACTCTGAAACGTCAGGAGGTGCGCTGTCAGTGCCCTGCTCACCCAGGCGCGGCAAGACGCTGAGGTCTTTCTGACTTGCCCCACCACCCCTTTCTCCTCTGTCTAGTCTAAACTAGGAAGGATCTCTCATTTCCAAAGTAGAAAGTCAGGCTGAGGTGTGGAAAAAAGTAGAAAGGAGGAATTGATTACAGCCTTAGTTTACGGACTCTTTTAAAGTTCATAGTAGAAAAAAAGCTACCACACTCTTTTTCCATGTTGTTGTTTAGAGTCAGAACCAACTCACAGCTGACCTTCCAGCAGGTTTTCAGAGGCAGTTAATCAGAAGGGAGGAGGTGGCCCATCCTTCACCTGTGGAACTGCTGGTGGCCTCGAACCTTGTGCCTTTGGGATTGCAGCTCAGCTTCTTACCACCTGACCACCAGAGCTCCAGCCCCTTGTCCCTTCTTACTCAATCATATTTCCATACCTATTCAGTCTGTGTGCTGAGCAAATAATTTGAGAAACTGGACTAGATGAAGAAGAAGGTGGCATTGAGATTGGAAGAAGACTCTAACAATTTGGATTATGCCGATGACACAATCTTGTTTGCAGAAAGTGCAGAGGGCTTGAAGCACTTGCTGCAGGAGATCAAAGACTAACTAGAGCCTTCAATATGAGTTACATCTCTATATCAATAAAACAAAAATTCTCACCACTGGACCAGTAAGTAACATCATGATAGACAGATAAAAGATGAAAGTTGTCAATTATTTCACTTTACTTTTTGATCTTCAATCACACTCAAGGTAATTGCAGTCAAGAAAGCAAGAGACTTGTTGCACTAGGACAACGTGCTGTCAAGGACCTCTCCAAAATGCTCAAAAGCAATGATGCCAGCATGAAGCCTAAAGCATGCCTGACTACAAGCCATAATATTTGCAATTGTTGTGTTTTTGTTTTTTTTTGAAGCGAGAATACGACTTTAATTTAACATCCACAATGACACTGCCTAACAGCACAGCAAGAGTTAATGGGAGAGGGAGAAGGTGGGCAGGCTTTCCACTTCCTCACCAGCCTTGGTTTATATGCCAGATCCTCAGTGACCCCTACCCACCTCTTTTAGCCTGTCTGGAGTGGGAGCGGGCAAGGAGTTGGAAGAGGTTCAGAATACAAAGGGTGGATAACAAGCCCGGGAAGAGGCCTGGGTATGAAGGCGGGGCTGGGGGGCTGGGCCACCCTAACGCAGGTCTTCCGCAGTGAACATGCCCTTGGCTCTACGCAGGATGGAGTCCTTGGTGGCGTCGTAGGGGTGCTCCTTGGATGGGATCTCGAGGACAGCCGGGATGGGGCGCTGGTGGGCGCCCAGCGGGTGCCGCACCATCTCAGCGATGTACTGGTTGATGAGGATGATGCCAAAGTCGTCTCGGTTCAGAAACAACCGGAAAGTATCTTCGATCTCGTTGATGGTTGTATCCTTTTCCACCACCAGGAAATTCGGAAGGCGGTTCTTGTTGAATTCTCCTATGCCACCCAGCAGGACGCCAGTCACCGTGTCCTCATCTCCGATCACCGCGATGAGCTTCCCGGGCCCGCCATCCCCTCTGCCGGCAGAGACCACCGGCGTCTGCGCTCAGGAACCCAAAGCCCGCCATTGGTAATTGTTTTTAATGCATCTGAAAGTTGCACAGTGAGTAAGGATTACAAGAAGAAGCGATGCCTTTGAATTGGTGGTAATGGAGAGAAAAACTGAGCAATTCATGAACTGCTCAAAGAACACGCAAATCTGTCTCAGAGGACGTGCAGCTGCCTTAAAGGCAAGGAAGGATGGTGAAACTTCACCTCATCGATTTTACACAGATTGTCGGTAAGGACCAGTTCTTGGAAAACGACATCATGCTGGTCAGAGAAAGAGAGGAAGATCTTCAAGAAGCTGTATTGCCTCAATGACTTTAACAATGGCTCAGGCCTGGAAAGGGATTGTGAGGATGGCGCAGCCCAGGACAAAGTTCAGAGCTGTTGTTGACAGGGTCACTGTGAGTTATAGTAGACTCAACAGCACCTAACAGCCGTCACCACCATCCGCACCTCATTTCAAGAAAAAAACAATCCTTCCAACTCACTGCATAACTCAGAGAGGAAGAATCTAGATATAGTAAATGTCTATTTTATTTTAGTTTTCACTTTTGCTTCCCACTAGAGCTCAGCAAATCCCAGCCATTATGCCTAAGACCTGAGGACAGGACCCCCAGAGAAAGGCCGGGAAACAAGTAGCCTATCTCCTACCGCAGGCAGGGCCAAATCTGACCCGCTGCCTGGTTTTGTGTGGTGTTTAGTCTTTTATTTGAAAAACAAACAAACAAATAAGAACATTTTATGATATGTTTGAAAATGACATGAAATTAACACTTCTGTGTCCATAAACAAGAGTTTTATTGGAGCACGTGCCCACCATTTGTTGGCATATTGTGTATGGCTTTCATGAGACAAAGGAGGGGGGTGAGGAGCTGTGACAAGCTCGCCTGACAAATACCCTTAAAAGCTCATTTTATTAGCTTGCTGAACCCTATTCTAGGGCTCCTGTGTGTTCTGGACACTGAACTGTGTGAATAAATGATTATATTCTTAGGTGTCAGACTGCTAGACAGAAAGTCAGCTGCTTGGACCCACCAGCCACTCTGTGGCAGAAAGACGGGCAAGGTATAGAGCCTGGGAAAACCACCGGAGGGTCTGTGCCTTGGCATCCATTCCACGCAGTGAGGGTTTGCCATTGTTGACTTTTTGTGGTTTGTTTTATCTCCTTGTTGTGATTTGGGTAATCGTTTTCCCAAATGATCCACACACATTCTGTTTCAAGCCCATAATTGCAATCCCCATGATGGAATAGCACTCACCTCTCTTCCCCCCTGGATAGCACTCACCCCACTTCCCCCCTGGGCTTCCTGCTTCTGTTTGTTTTCCTTTTCTGTTCCTTTCTGTCTTCTGAACCTTGTCCTTAGGCAGTTGCTGCCATTTTGCTCTCAAACAGTGGATAGTTCTAGAGAGGATGCACTTTCCTAAGTTGCTGTTCATAATACAGACCTGCTCAACGCCCTTGGAAAAAGACATCCTGCTGGGAAAGGTGAAAGGTCAGAGGAAGAGAGAAACACTCTCATCAAGATTGATAGTTCTATCAAATGAGTGACTGTAACAATGGGCTCAAAGATATCAGATCTGTTCATAGGGTCATAATGAGTCATCCCTGACTTGACCTAATAATAACAGCAGCATTGTTCGGCCAAGAGCTGAGTCAAGGGGGTGAGTTCAGTTCCAGACTTGAATGATTACTAAGGGCCATATCTCATGCGTTCAATCAGTCTCTACCTGACTAGTGAACTTAGTCCTTCATATAATTTTAAATTTTATTCTCCATTTCTCTTCCATTCCATCTAGGTTCTTCCAATGTGTTCCCTTTAAGAATGGTCAATAGTGGCAGCCGGTCGCCATCTAATTCTGGTCTCAGAGTCATGGGGGTTGAGGTCTGCATGGTCTGTCAGTCCTTTTCAATGGAGAGAGATCAACAAGTTACTTCTTAGTTGCCACTTCTGGAAGTAAGTGTTACCAATGCAGAAATACTTTAGTTTATTTCTGCCTTTTTTAAAAAAAAATTGTGATTTTAATGAAAGTTTACAGAAAAGTTTTATTTTCATGCATTTTTTGTTGACCATTTTCTTCCCTCCCCTCCCCAATTCACTTAAAAAAAAATAATCATTCACTGATGTATAATTTCCTCCCTCTTGCCACACCTCTTATCCTGGACTGTTGTCATACAAATAATGCCTAATCATAGATCTTTTTTTTAAATTTATTTTTTTTCCTCTACTAGTTTAGTTTTCACATGCAAGCAAGAGTCTACTGAAGATTATCCAAAAACGACTGGAACAGCACATCAACAGAGAACTGCCAGAAGTTCAGGCTGGGTTTAGAAGGGGTCGTGATACTAGGGATATTGTAGCTAACGTTAGATGAATCCTAGCTGAAAGCAGGGAATGAATACCAGAGGGATGTATATCTGTGTTTTATTGACAATGCAAAGGCGTTTTTGACTGTGTGGATCATAGCAAACTGTGGCTGACTCTGAGAAGAATGGGAATCCCAGAACACTTGATCATGCTAATGCAAAACCTATACTTGGACCAAGAGGCAATAGTCGGAACAGAGCAAGGGAACACTGCATGGTTCAAAATTGGGAAGGGGTGAACCAGGGATGTGTACTGTCTTCATACCTTTTCAACCTGTATGCAGAACAGATTATCTGGGGGGCTGGGCTCTATGAGGAGAAGTGTGGGGTCAGGATTGGTGGAAGATCTATCAACAATCTGCGTTTTGCAGATGACACAACCCTGCTTGCTGAAACTGAGGAAGACCTGAAGTGCTTGCTGCAGAGCGTCAAGGATTGCAGCCTCCAATATGGATTGAGGCTCAATGTCAAGAAGAGATTCTCACCACTGGACAAATTGGCAGCCTCAGGATGGATGGTGAAGAGATTGAGTTTGTTCACAGCTTTAGTTTGCTTGGCTCCACAGTCAACACTCTTGGCACCAGTAGCCAGGAAATCAAAAGACGTATTGCGATGGGAAAGTCTGCTGTTAGGGACCCCTCCAAAGTACTGAAGAGCAATGGTGTCTCTCTGGAGACTAAGGTCTGGGCCAGGGTCTTTGCTATCACTTGTTATGCATCAGAGAGTTGGACAATGACTAAGGAGGATAGGAGAATTGATGTCTTTGATCTGTGGTGCTGGAGAAGAGTATTGAGGGTACCATGGACTGCTAGGAAAACAAACAGATTCATCCTGGAGAGGGTTAAACCAGGTGGCTCCTTGGAGGCAAGGATTCTGAGGCTCCATCTAACATAGTTTGGACATGTTGTAAGGAGAGACCGGTCCTTGGAGAGGGACATCATGCTTCTTGGTAAGGTGGAGGGACAGCGCCGGAGGGGAAGGTCCTCTGTGAGGTGGATTGATTCAGTGACTGGGGTAATGGGGATGGAAGTGTCAGAGACAGTGCAATTAGCACAGGACAGAGCAGAGTTTAGGGCTGTTGTACATAGGGTCGCTATGAGTCACAAGTGACTCGACGGCACATAACAACTAGTTTATTTAGAAAATTCGAATACAAATTTGAATAAATTCTTTCAATTTTCCTCACCCCCCCCATCAAATGTACAACCCAATGATTAATTCCCCCCACCCCCTGCACATTCATATCCTGCTTCCAGCCTCTCCCACTCCTCCTGGATCCTTATACTCATTCTGCAATAATGGTTTTATACAATATTTACCCTTGTCAGACTGGGCCTCCACAATTACAAAATGGGCAAAAGACATGGAAAGAATTTTCACAGAGGAAGATATTAGAATGGCAAACAGACACAAAAAGAAATGCTCCAAATCACTAGCAATAAGAGAGATCCAAGTCAAAATGACAGTGAGGTACCATCTCACTCCAGTAAGAGTGGCAAGGTTTAACAGGCAAGCAAGTAATAGATATTGGAGAGGATGTGGTGAGAAAAGAACTCTTATACATTGTTGGTGGGATTGTAAAATGGTGCAACCATTCTGGAAGGCAGTTTGGCACTTCCTCAAAAAGCTGAATATAGAAATTCCATATGACTCAGCTATTCAACTACTTGGATTATACCCTGAGAATATGAGAACTGAGGAACAAACTGAGATTTGTACGCCAGTGTTCATAGCAGCATTATGCACCATCGCAAGAACATGGAAACAGCCAAAATGTCCAACCACAAATGAATGGATTGAGAAATTATGGTACATTCACACAATGGCATACTATGCAGCACGCAGCAACTAATCATATATCCTTTTAAACAGTTCTTACCTTCATCTGTTCCAATGCTGTGTTCATTATTTATTCCCTCTTTTCTTAGTTTCCCCTTAACCCCCACATCAGTTCTGTTTTATAACAGTGGTGTTATATAGTATTTGTCTTTTTGTGACTGAGATATTTCACTTAGTATAATGTCCTCCAGGGTCACCTATGTTGTGTAATATTTTACGAGTTTCTCGTTTTTCAGTACTGTGTAGTATTTATTCTATTGTGTGAATATACCACAGTTTTTCTATCTATTCATTTGTTGATGACCCCTTGTATATTCCTAGAAGTGTAATTGCTGGGCCAAATGGTATTTCTCTTTCTCTTTGTTTGTTAGAAAAAAATCAGCAAAATAAAATTTCGGTTTATTGTTGGACAACATTGTTTCATACATACATCAAACAGGAAAAAAAAACAACAACAAACTGCTTCACAAATTTGTGTGTCATCCTCGTGCAAGGACCATGCTAATCTTCTCTGTATTGGTCTAATTTTAGTAGATGTGCTGCCAAAGCATGTACTATTCCAAACTTTTTAAGAAAGCGCCGGACCACCTTCCATACTGGTTGCTCCATTTTGCACACCTTCCAGCAGTGGGTTCCAATCTCTCTACAACTTTGCCAGCATTTGTTGTTTGTTGCTCTTTTGAATATTGCTATCGTTACTGGGGTAAGATGATATCTCATGGTTGTTTTGATTTGCATCTCTCTGAAAGCTAGAGATTTTGAACATTTCTTCACGTGTTTGTTTGACATCTGATTGTCTTCTTCAAATAAGGGGTCCAGAGTGAACCTGGACTACACATTTGAGTGTTAATCACTCAATTGCTGTAGAATTGATTTCAACTTGTGTGTGTGTGTCACAGTAGAGCTATTCTACATAGGGTTTTTGAGGGCTGGTTGTTTTTTTTTTTAGTTGGTGGGTTCTTTTGTGTTTTGTTTTGTTTTTTTAAGTAATGCAGAATTCTTTGCTTCACAAATTTCCTTGCACAGGGGCCATTTAATCTTATTTTAGTATAAAAGTGCTGCCAAAGTGAGCTCTGATGGTTGATTCCCCCCCCCCCGAATTTGGTCACCAGGCTTTTTTTTCCTTTTTTTTTTCCCCCTGAGGTGCCTCTGGATGGACTTGAACCTCCAACCTTTTGGTTAGCAGCTGGGTGCAGAAACTTTACTGCCTACTCATTTGTGTGTAGCTGAGACCTCAGTGGGC